GATGTATATAATTTTCACTCGGCGGAATTTCCATCTTCGAAAAACCCTTTATTGAATGAGGTTGAGCATGATTGATATGAAGAATTAGTCTAGCCTGAAGCCTTGTATCGTGTGGTTGATAACACACACTAAGATGTTTTAATACCTTTCGTGGCTGTTTTCGCGTTGATATTTCTTCTTTATATTTTAGAAGTTGTTTCCTTTAAACCGGCGGACACTGCCGAAAGCGGCGCCATATAATATTTCGACATTTCGTATTCGTATATTTCCACAACGTGACGTCATAACGTTGAATATAATTTTTTCATAGCAACATTATAACGTCTCTCCGTTGAATATTATGCCAAAACCCATACATATTTCGTCAGCTATTGAGTTGATATGACAATAAAACAGTTGGCTTTTAGCCAATCAGAGATCATGAATCTCTTAAAGAAATAATAATTAGTTTTATCCAGAGATCAGTGCACAAAATCCTAATAGTTGTTACCAGAAAGTTTATATATTTTCCTTATAATATATTAATATCTTGTTTAATGCACTACTGATAACTATAAGTAACTACGGATTCCATGCTTGTATTTTTAACTAAAATATATCTGAACTGGCTGAGCAATAAGTTTCGAACAATATTTACATAAATTTAATATACTTATAAACATTGACATATTGTAGATTTGCTGAACTATCCTTTTGATATTAAATTGTGCGGCATATAAACAAAGAGAAAATGTGATTATAATGGATCACTCAATGCAAATGTTAATAAACTGCATGACATCTTTGTCACTTTATATTCAGGAAATTGATAATTATGTAGCAAAAATATCCATATATATGTAGCAAAAATATACTAGTTAACTTTTTGCTGTAATATCTTATCAGTTTGGTGTAAAGCGACAGGGTACTGTTCGAAAATGTAAATAGTTTTCTAATTTGATCTCACAATCAATATGTGCGAATCGTAATGATTGTCTATAATGAATATCTTGGAATTTAATGTAACATAGAAAATTTTATTGTTGAAAATTATCAAAGTAAACTTTTCATAATCTTTATAACTTTGAATAATCCATCTTCTAGTTTCAGAAAGTCCTTGCGGAAGATGTGGAACTATGTGCATTCCCTAGTGTTTTTTGCGATTTCATGTGCAGGTAATGTCAATGAAAACAATTTGAAATAAGTAATGTAAAAGATTAATATAGGAAAGTGAATTTTGTTTCATGTGCATGCTCTTACATTTACAGATTTTTGTCAAACAAGACGTCTTGGACGGGTAAGTTTTGTTTTAGCCAAGCCTTTTCCATTCTATACATACCAGGTTGATTTAACTTATAGTTTTTCAGATTGACGATTCACGCGCTATATAATTATATGCAACGTCGATTCGATTCTTCGATATAATTATGCACCGTACGTCATGCATGCACGCACGTATACTCATGATCTATCATGTATATAAAATAGTTCAAGAAACTAAAAAAATGTGTGTAAAGTTATTCAATAAGTAGAAATCACTAACATATAGTCAATGTCAATTATTGATAAAAGGAAAATAGTGCAAATAGTTGATGAATGGTCGCGAATAGTGCGAATAGTCGCCGAACATTTCGAATAATACAAAAATTATTATACAGTCTCAGGTCGAACGCTGCTGTGGTACTGATCACCCCTCGGGTACGATCACATGCAACATTGGGCGACAGATCATTTGCTATGGCTACACCAAAGTTGTGGAATGGCTTGCCCTGCATGCGATATTAAGAACGCAAACAGTTTAGAGAAATTCAAGAGACTTTGAAAACTCACTTTTTTCGTTTAGCTTTTTCATAGAGTTTATATTTGACTCATATTAGAAACATTCATATTGGGATTTGTTTATTATTAATGTAGAGCGCATTTGATCATTTAGTCATGGAAAATGCGCTATAGAAGTTTTTAATTACAATTACAATTTGTGATGAAATAGACGTTCTGTAAGTTATAGATATAGACTCGAAATATATCACCACCATATAATTTGTGTCTTGTCTTCTTTAAATAACTCATATCTTGAGTTTACAAGATGGCATTATTACTCTGAGTATGTTTTTATTTTTTTTTAATATATAAGTTATTTAAGTTTGTTTTTATTTTTCTGTTGTCTTTTATTAAATTAAACAATTTATAACTAAAATAAAAAGTGTGCTCGAGGTGACTTTTATGCTATGTTTTAAGGCATTTTGCGTACAATTTTATGTACAGTTTCCTGATCATGCATGCTACATGCATGTGCTCGCACATGTAAAATTTGCTCAGATAAAAACATCGTTATACATGCGCGACAGAATTTATCCCAATTAGTATTTTGGCGAATTATTTCAGACTACACTATGGGAATACAACTCAGCAGTCCTAAACCTAGTTTTGATACTATTTACCATGCACAGACGATTTACGCTCTGAAGTACAAAATGACACAATATTTCATCAATATCAATTTCACTAAGACGCGTTCATATAAATCACAATAATTCATTGTAAAACTTCTAAACAATCTTAAAATATTGATGAAGATCCGGGCTTACGGATCGAAAGCTTTGCAGTAATAAATTTACGTGGTGTTTCCACAAACAAAACTATTATATGTTTTATCGCCATGCAAACATACAAAGAACTTAATCTTAAAATAACTAGTTAAACAAGTGAAAATTAGCAATTTTATAAGAACAAATAGTTGAATTCAGAATTCACATGCATAGTAAATGTATACATATACTGTACTATTCGCCGACTATTCGCCGACTATTCGCCGACTATTCGCACTATTCTCCTTTTATCAATTGCCCATAATCAACACCTGCGTACGTTTCTTAATCCCTATACTTGCATGTTCTGGAAAATTTGGTCGTTTATATGATATACAGCTATTTCAATTAAGGTTGTCCACGAGCAAAGCGGAAAAGTCGAATACGAGCGCGAAAGGCTGCTGGGAACCGCTTTGAAAATTAATTAATTTGTTAGCGATTCCCAGCAGCCTTTCGCGCTCGTATTCGACTTTTCCGCTTTGCTCGTGGACAACCTTTAATTGAAATAGCTGTATATTGTGATGTGTTTCAATGGACTTTACTGACATGCACATGCATTGCTCATTTCAGATCAATTGTATTTACATCTTTTATCCCTATTTGGGACTATAGTATTAATTCCTAGTATTTAAATGTGAAAAAATTCACAGGCAAATGCATGCGCAATTTGGCCACGAAAAATGATTCAGAACAATAGTTTTCAATTCTGTACACGCTGTATACTATTTTGCGTCTCCCCCTCCCCCCCCCCCCCCCCCTGTTCCACGCAAATAATATGCAGAAGGCAAATGATATAAGTAATCAATCGGCTCGTAGAGTAGCACAAGGAATTGCCAATCTTGGCACTCAGTCATATCTAGTATCCTACCTAGAACTGACAAGCCTGAACTATCTAAGAAAGTGGTTGAAGCCAATGAACTTATTAAGGCTTTTTGCAATGGAAACAACTGGGAATTTATGGACCATGCAGCCATTGACTCCTCCTGTTTAAACATGAGAGGGTTACACCTCAATCGTAAGGGTACCACAACTATAGCTAGAAATATCTCTAGCTATATCAGTACTACATAGCTTATTGCCAGTGCACAGTCCGATACCAATTATTTAGAAACAGATACTAATAGCGACAAAGTCAATATGTTAGCTAATGTTTTTCGCAAAGGCCTTACTATGGCCTCTCTTAATATTAATAGTCTTCTAGCTCATATTGATGAATTAAGAGTGTTTATTGATAATTCTAATATTGATATTTTAGCCATTAATGAAACTAAGCTTGATTTCTCTATTGATGACGACCAGGTCCATCTGGCGGGGTACGATATCGTTAGGAAAGATCGAATACAAAATGGTAGAAGTGGCGGTGGAGTGTGTATATATTTCCGAAGCAACTTGAATTTTCGTATTCGCGAGGATCTATTAAATGACAACCTTGAATGTCTCGTAATTGAAATTACTAACCCTCGCTCAAGGCCGTTTCTTGTCGGTACTTGGTACAGACCTCCAAGTTCTCCTCCTGATCTCTTCTCTCACTTTGAGGTTTTAATGGATAAAATTGATGTTGAAAACTCCGAATTTCATCTGCTTGGCGACATAAATTGCAATATGCTCTCAGGGTCTTTAGATATTTACGATTTTCATCAACTGATTACAGAACCTACTAGAATAACTTTAACTTCGCAAACTCTAATTGATTTATGTATTACCAATTTTCCTGATAAAATAACAACATCTGGTACTTTTTCACTAGGTATCAGTGACCATTCACTTGTTTACTTAGTTCGCAAGTCCAGCTACCCTAAGTGGCAGATAAATAAACCGGTGATAAGGAGAGATTTCAAACAATTTAAGGAAGCCAATTTCCTATATGATTTAAATGAGTTAAATTTTGACGAGGCTTCCCATTGTGAAAATCCTAACGAAATGTGGTACAACTGGGCAAATAAACTTACGTTGGTGATTAATAAACATGCTCCCTTTAAAAAAAACGTCTAGGGAAAAAGAAATCTCCGTGGATTACACCGGAAGTTGTTTAAAAATGCGCCAAAGAGATTCTATAAAAAAGAAATTTGACATTACTAAAGATGAACATATTTGGAATCAATATAAAAAAGCTCGTAACGAAACCAATAATTTCATTAAGCAATCAAAACGTAACCATTTTACATCTAATATTGAAGCTGCAGGTAACGACCCTAAAAAATTAAACTTGGAAGCTTATTAACGAACTGACCTCTCGTAAACAAAGCAGGTTGGGCAATGTTAGCAAAATTAATTTAGATGATAATAATGTAATTACAGAGGCCTTAGAAATTACAGATGCCTTTAACTTTCATTTCACCAATGTTGGCACAAATTTAGCGAATGACATTAGTAAATCCAATGTAAATCCTATTCAGTACATTAAAAGGCCAAATTGTGTTTTTTCATTTCAAGAAGTTCATGTTGATAAAGTCAGGCAGTTTCTAAAACATATAAACGTTGCGAAATCTACTGGTCTGGACAATCTTCCGGGTAAACTACTAAAAGTTGCAGCCGATATTTTAGCACCTTCCTTAACCAAACTATTCAACAAATCACTATCCACGGGCATCTATCCTAGTGATTGGAAATTGGTCAGGGTTGTTCCTATATTTAAAAATGGTGACAAATCAGATTTGAATAATTATCGTCCAATCTCCATAATCTCAAGTGTTGCAAAAGTTTTCGAAAAAATCGTATATGATCAATTTTACGAGTACTTGTCAGCGAATGATCTATTCTCGCATCAACAATCGTCATTTCGACCTACTTACAGCACTGTAACGGCTCTACTCGAATCGACAAATGACTGGTGCGTAAATATCGATAATGGTCTGGTAAATGGAGTTATTTTCATTGACCTAAAAAAGGCCTTTGATACTATTGATCACGAAATTCTCATAAATAAACTTGAATGCTATGGAGTTAACTGATTGCAGTGCTCTAGGCTGGTTTAAATCTTATCTGTCTGATCGTAAGCAAAGGTGCTTCGTGAATGATACACTATATACTTATGGTGTTCCGCAAGGGTCAATAATTGGACCTCTCTTGTTTCTGGTCTATATTAATGATGTGCCAAATTGTATGAATGACGGTTTAGCAAGAATGTATGCCGATGATACTAACATAACTTTTCATAGCCATGATCTTTCTGAGTTGGAAGACGCAATGAATGCGGAATTGATCAATCAAACTACCTGGCTACAATCCAATAAATTAAGTCTTAATATTGCAAAAACCAAACTTATGGTCATTGGCTCCCGTCAGAGACTTGCAACCTTCAGTGAAACCAACGATTTAAATGTCTTTGTAGACAACGAAAAGATAAAAAAAGTTCAATCTACAAAGTCGTTAGGTCTAACAATCGACGAGCACTTAACTTGGAAAAACCATATCAATAATATTACCAAAAAAATTTCGTCCGGTATTAGTGCTCTTAAGCGATTAAGACCTTTCATCAATAAAGAAACGGTTGTGAAGGCATACAGGGGCCTGGTCGAGCCCTATTTTACTTATTGCTCTCCAGTTTGGGATGGTATTGGTTTAAAACTGGGTGAGAAACTACAAAAGCTGCAAAATCGTGCGGCTATAGGGTAATGACCGCAGGTCCTCGTATGAGGTTTCGTCAGCATCCCTACTTTCTGAGTTGGGATGGAGTGTTTTGGCAAAAAATCGCATGAAGCAAAAAGCTATCCTAATGTACAAAGTTAATAATAATTGTGCTCCTCAATACTTGCAGCAGCTATTTACACCCAAAGTGAGCAATCATGATCTGAGAAATTCTCTAAATAAATTGTCTGTTCCAAAACCTCGAACAGACTATTTAAAACGTTTTTTTAGCTACAGTGGTGCTTCGCTGTGGAACAGCTTGTCAGAACAGCTCAGATCAGCCCCTTCTCTCAATTCATTCAAAGTCGAATTGACTAATTTCCTATAGTATACTGAGTATAAAAATTATGGACTCTTGCACGGCAATCATGTAAAACAGTAATTATTATTTTTATCTTTTGACTAACATTGTATATATTTAAATTTGTGTATTTTATTCTTGCACTGATGATACTTCCGTGTTGAAATAAAGTGTATGTATGTGTATGTATGTAGAAGGTCTACAGTCTTGGACGAATTGTCTGTAATGAGAATTCAAAAGAATTATTGACTATTACATATATTGGTCATATTGCTTATACACGGGATGTTCATTGACGCCCCCTTCTCCCAAGTTTATAGTGTTGGTTCTTTAGACGGAGGAACAAATAAGGCTATCTGAATATTGTATATCAATGATGTATATTACAGGTTAATTGTATAATGATTTTTAATAAAGCTTATTCTGTATGATTTATAAAGCTTGAAGGAGAACATTTGCTTCACCACAACATGGACCATAAGGAACTAAAAAGACTCTTCGGAACAACTGTTTTGAGCGAAGGTATATTTTTTTAAAAGTATAACAATAATAATAATAACGAATGTTTATACAGGATGGAGAACAGCTGTTATCAATGTAATATCATAATCTGGGATCGGTTGTTCGAAAGCTGGTCGCGGGCTTGACCGTTGAAGCAAACCTCCCTATAATACGCGGCTTGATTATCAACTTGGAAAATAATGATCCAAAAATCTTGGCTCCATCAATAAATTTTCACTTTTCACGTTTTCAAATGAACAGACCTGCAGGAAAACACAAACCAAAACAGCGAGTTAGATTTTGGTCTAGGGTTAGCGCTAATCGAAGTCTGAACAACCAATTAGGGGCAATGGATTATTGTTCAGAACTTCTAAAAACTCTCCAAACATGAATTACAGAAATTGCGCTGTGATAATGTTGCATAACGATTCACCCATTCTCCCATTGTCAGCAACCATTTGAACACAATTTACCTGGGTACCGGTATCTCTCACACACGAAAGTACTTTGCATGGGCAGGCGGTTGTACTGTATATGAATTGTTCTACATTTTGTAGTTCCAGAATACGAGATTACCCATCCATTTCTGTCCAACGAGAAAGGAGAATTAAGATCAGATGAACCAGCAAAATTCCAGACAGATCTTAACATCCGGCAGCGAAGAACCATTCCTGATGAAGAGACTGGAACGCGATATTATAGCTTAAAGGCGTTTGGTTCAAAACTGCACCTAAATCTAACGCGAAGTAAGGTTTTGGGTTCAAGGTTTGTGGTGGAAAACAGACACGAGAACGGAAGTAGAATAATTACTACTCCAGAGATCGATGATCATTTTGTTGGTAATGTTGTTTCTCATCCCGGATCAATTATTTCAATCAGCGCTGGAAAAGGATTGGTATGCAATATACTTATTACTTTATTCATACTAAAATATATGGAGGTCCAATAAGGGCACACTGCTCTTGTATTACTACAGGGGGAACTGGAATATAATTAATAATAATAATTTAATAATTTATAAAGCGCTTTTTACATGTAATGATCAAAAGCACTCGAGGAAATCTGCGGTGTTCGGTAGAGTCACTGTGTATTAATTTTACAGGCGAAAGAAGCGAATTCCTTGGAAACAATCGTCTGCACTCGTTTTTTTAACACTTTTTTGTATCCGCAACAAATTTTTCCATTCCACATTTTTACTCTCGATATTTACTTTTTTTCTTCGTTCTCTATCCATTTCATACAGGTACAGTATGTTTGTCATTACTGTGAAAGACATGAGTCGCCTTGTTAATCCATTTATTTCCAGGGTTTTTTGTTGCCACGTTTACTGTGAGTCCGTGTAAGAAATTAACTTTGCAATAATTCGTTTTGTGGAAGCTCTCATTTTGTTAACCCTTTTTCTGTTAATAATGACAATATGTAGAACATTAAATTTAGTGTAATATCTTATTTTTATTTCTACAGACAGGAATGATAAAACTTCCCCATGAAACATTTTATCTGCAACCTCTGTCCGACAATCTCGCTCAAGAATACAAACGCTCTGTATCATCATATCCGCATGTTGTAGTGAAGGCAAGCAGTGATAAGAAGAATTTACCATGCGATGTCGAAGGTATCATTTTTAAAAGACTTGTGTGGATTTAATTTATATCAATAATGGTCTTATTTTGTAAATGGAATGACTTAAATTATATGGTGTAATTAAGTTTCGTAGCAACGAATGATATATGCGTTATAGTAACCAATAAAAACGGAGACATCTCTTTTGTAACGATATATGCTTTATACTCCGGCTTTCCTAATTACCTTATTTTTGAGATACTCTCAGAGTGATATTTCTTGTTCCATTATAAAATTCTTAACTCATTCCTCTCTTTTATTATATTCATTTTGAATCAGTTCATTTTGAATCAGTGGTGTTTCCTGCAATCTGATTGGCTATTAGCGATTTCAGCACGAATCGCGCTCTGGGGAGTGCGCACCTTCTTTCAACCAATAATATTAGTGAGCTGACTTCAAACACCAGATGATATTGGAAAACGTGCAACGCAGGGCTACAAAATTTATATTAAATTATCCTGACGACCTCAATTACAAACAGCGCCTCCTTAAGTTATCCCTGTTACCTTTGGAGTACAGAAGAGATTTGAAAGACACGATTATTTTATTCAAACACAGACTAGGCTTAGTAGTTCTAGATGCATCCCTCCTTACAACAGTACTCTGTCCAAAATCGTGTAATTACCCGGAATGTTTCCTCCCTGAATTATACAAGACATAGCGAGCAACTCAAAATTACAAAATACTCCTATTTCCACCGTGTCGTTTCCACCTGAAACTCACTACCACTAGATATCAAAAGTTCAACCAACTCGGTAACTTTTAAAAAAGCTATCTCAGATTATCACACGATGAAACGTGATTCTTATATTCCTCCTGACGAAAGACGCACATACACTTAACTAATTTTAGACTAAATACTGTAATCTATCCTACTAATTTAATAATATTTTATCATGTTTTTTTAGCCATCAGGGGTTTGATGTCAATTGGGGCTTTGCCCTGTTTCTTTCTCCTGTTGTCACTGTAAAGCTCGGATAACTAATTTAATAAATTCGAATTAATAAATTCAGCCAACCAATCATATTTAATCATAGGATTCAAACACCCAATCAATTTTAAGAAAAATGTGATATGGCAAATAAGCAAAACAAAAAAGTTACATATGTCATGATATTACTCTTGATTGCCCATAAAAACAAAAAATATAGATAGCTACAGTAAACTATCAAAGGAGACATATTAAGAACATATATATATAATCTTCTATTAAACACGGTCAACTGAAATGCCAACGAAAACAAATTTAAAGGTTAAGCTTCAGGCAAAACAATTAGTCCGTGTGCCTAGAAAACGATTTTCATTTAGCATGTCTTAGATCTGAAATATTTTTACGGGAAATAACACTTTCGAACAAGCTGAGTTCAAATCCGAAAAGTTATCGCTCCGTATAGACCCGCAGTTTTCTCTGCTGTTTTATCTTCACTAATTTCACAGCAAATTTTTTCATTGTTCAACGACACGGATCGATGACGTCACTCAGAAAGCTGAGAAATAATCCTTACATGCGATCAAAATGTTTTATACATGCACTGATGTAAAACGGTAATCTTTATTGATATGTAATGGACAGCATTTAAATTTCCAACACAGTTTCCGAGACATAATTCAAGAGATAACTTATCATTGCATTTGAACTATACTAACTATTACAGTTGGTGTTATGCTGTGCGATAAGCGAATATTATTGGAAAGAGGGCTTCCATACGTTGAAATCACCAAATAAACAGCTCATGCACACATTTCTCCACTTCGTCGCAAGTTTACAGAGCAGATTTTATACTTTGGGACTGATCTTTGTCTTTGATGTGAACATTTATTCTTCTACACGGCAAAAAACGCCGAGCCCGCTGCTTAACAGGATTGAACAATGTTTTGCTGCCCATGTTGTTCACACTTGTCAACAATATTGAACAATATTGTTGAACCTGAATCGGGTGTAACAATATTGTTCAATATTGTTGACAACTGTGAACAATGTGGGCAGCACAACATTGTTCAATCCTGTTTTCATCAATATTGCAACAACCAGCTCGAGCCAGCTGATCGTTTTTTTTTGCCGTGTATAGTTTAAGTTTATTTAAGATTGATCCTGTCGTAAGTCTTCTATACCAGCAACCAATCGACAATATTTTATTTTAGCGTTGTCTTTGCCTTCCTTTGTTAAAAGAAGACTGGTTAATAGAAATTGGTCCTTTTGAGTGACTTAATTTAATCGTGTATCGTCATCCATCTGTATCGTTGAACAATAAAACATTTTTTCGTGAAATTATTGAAGATAAAATAGCAGTTTGTGAGAAAACTCCGAGTCTACGGAGCGGGAACTTTTCGGATTTGAACTCAGCGTGCTTGAAAGTGTTAGTTCCCTTAAAAATATTACAGATCTAAGACATGCTAAATGAAAGTGAACGATATCGGGACGCAGCGAACGGCCTAAATTAGGTTAGATTCGCCCATCGTTTTTCTGATTTTAAACGCACGAAACTGCACCAAAACTCTATCAAATCACTCGTAAAACCTATACTGATTTGTCTCTTATTCTTTTGATTAATGTCTTCATTTCTTTAACATTTTTGCAGTATTTTGAACTTATAAAATACAATTTGAATTATTGTTGCTATGCTACAGCACTCATGCAGGGAGGTACCGGAGGTCTGTCTTTTGCAACCAAAAACGTTTCAAAATGAGTATAATAAAGTGGAAATTGAACTTGCGTGATTAGAAAATCGCACAACCGCGAAGCGGCAGTGCAATTTGTAATCACAAGTTTGATTTCAGTCCACTCAGTTCAATTTATACCATTAGAGCCTGGGTACGAGGTTGCACATATTTTTCTTGCCAACCTTGGGGAAATAATATACATAATGATGCAACGCTACCTTTTCGGGAGATGTATATGATAGAGCTTTGTTTTCGTGATTGAGACGTTAACTATAAATGTCACATACACGTAAACGAGGCTCTGTAGCCAAAGTACTTTCCGGAAGGGTGTATTTCACAAGTTATATTCTTACTATGTGTGTTGATATGTGTTTGACGGTCAGCACGATAACTCAAAAACTACCAAACGTATTAATACGAGAATTTGTGAAACTAATGGACATTGCCGAAGGATAAATAATTTAAAGCAAATTTTGGTTGAATTTGGATGAAAATGGGAGGAGAAATTAGCAATAGTTTGTCACGCATTGCCGGGAAGAGTAAACTGAATGATCAATTAGCCCATTGTATAATTTATACATGACACATAACTTAATTCGCTGGCGGAGGTACACTGTATGCAGTCTCCGAGTGCCCTCTAATTTTAAATTACTTTTGTTCTTCTTGCATTCACTTTCAGTCACCAAATTATACGTAATGCAATTTAAGTTTCACCTATTCTAAATGTAATATTTTTTGTTTATATAGATGATTTTAGTAGTCCAGTGGTCAAGCGTTCGATAATGAATAATTCTGTTCCGACGAGTGCTTCTTTAATTTCTCACAAATACCTGCAAACTGTATATGTTGTTGATCAATATCTTTCGGCAAATCTTGGCCAATCTACTTTGGAGAAATTACTTCCGACGCTTGCTAATACAGTACGTTTTAGTTATTTTATTTTACGTCAATATAAATGGTAATCAAATATTGCATGGCGGGTTTCAGTGAGGCTGCAGGGGAGCAGATGGTGGTGACGAATTGTGATTATATACCACCAAAATACAAAACTTTACTATATCTATATATGACAATGGCGTGATTTTAAAATAAAGTCGTGAGAGCACGAAAAATATGAGGGAATTTGGAAACCGGGTTTGTATCTGGTTAGGACGAAGCGACCGGTTTTTTTTATAGTGGCCGGAAAACACACTATATGGATATTAAACACTAGGTCAAAACCGAGGAAAGCCATCAAACGAATTTTTTTAATAAAGCTTTTTCAATACTTCCTGACTCGAAAATAATGTTACGAACATGCATGCACTTGAATTAACAGTACTAGAATAACACTATAAAACGACAAGAGTAAACTACAGAAAACAGTACGAAAACAGCGTGTGTTCCAGACTTCCAGTCCACTACAGTACTATATATACACCTTATTTTTTCCACTTTAATGACTTTTGGCTGACCACCATCTGTTGAACGATGGTGCACAATTGAATGCTGGGATGCATGTTTGGATATAATTCACTGTGTCAGTGCATGAGCTTACAAGTCAGTGCCATAAGTCCTTTTGTGAAATTCATGCAAAATACAGCTTTGCAAATTTAGAGTGAACTATACTTTAATTCGATAACAATCAAATTCATAAAAGCTTATAAGATGTTTTGTAAGGAAAATAAGTTGTTGTTACTATAAAATGTATTCATTATACAATGCATTTTATTTCACATCATGCATACAAAATGAATGTATACAGCTATTGATCAACATTGTGCAAAAAGGAAAATATAAATTTCCATCTATACCGGTAGATGGCTGCGGCGTTAGACTTTACGTCCCAAAGCACGATCTAAGAACCTGAGGACTTATATTTATAAAAAAGTCACTAATATAAAATTAACTTCAAAAATTCTTCTCTTTATTAATTGCAGGTCGCTGGACGTTTCAGGGACAGCAGCTTTGGTTCAATAAAATTAAACTACGTATTGAACAAGATTATTTTCCTAAATAACGGCGAGGTACAATGTTACTTGTTACGCAACTTCAATGTTCAATCAATAATTACTCGCTGGGGCACTCTGTGCCCTGGCGAGTATAGGTTTCGGCACGCATTTTTAGTGGATCAGCAATAGTGGATCAGCAATAGTGGATCAGCAATAGTGGATCAGCAATAGTGGATCTCCAATTTTCTTCGATAGCCACAAAATAGAATATTAATGAGCTGCCTAATATCAAAATGGCGGCCTTTCGTGGAGTGGGCAAAATATTTCAAACAATTTCGTTAAAATTTTCAACGAATTGTACCTGTTTTTTATGGATTTTGCATTGTGTCTAACTCTAGACATTCTTGCTAGTTTAGTTGATGCATTTTTCTTGGTGCACGGCTCTGAAAATCCGAAATTTGGATCGTCGAATTCCCATGCACGATCATAATATTCATATAATATACTGAATCTGGATATAAACGAGCCAAAGGCAATTAAGACAATTTCAAGGTAAAAGGTTATAACTTACAATAAACTACACAACGTAGTTTTAATAGATAACTACTTTATGAGAAGCATATTAGTGTCATATCAATATAAAATTTATCCAACAACAGTCTCTATTAAATAGTTATTAGTTAATAGCTGTGGAAACGTGAAAACTGTAGTGACTAGTGTGAAATATAATGTATTCGTAATGCCTAATGGCGCAATAAGGATAAAAATACCAACGTTCGATTCAGCGTAAGAAATTGTACTTACGGATGTCAAATGTATTACTAAACAACAGTATTCTAGCGATTTATGGCCATTCAAAATCAAGCGAAATTGTATTGTTTACAAATCGCTCGCAGAACGTTTTCACTGTGTTGATACTCACTCGCAGTACGTTTGTCCTTGACCTTGTCCAGTTATATTATTTAATGCCTAATGGCGCAATAAAGATAAAAAATACCACTGTTCGATTCAGCGTAAGAAATTGTACTTACGGGTGTCAAATGTTGATATCACTAAACAACAGTATTCTAGCGATTTATGGCCTTTATCTTTAAAATCCAAGCGAAATTGTATTGCGAACGAATCGCTCAAAACTATTCAACTAATTATAAAAAATGCAGTACGTTTGATCCTTGATAACTTTGGTATCGTTTGAGCCCAAAATATTTTATTTTGAACGTAATTTTATTTTGAACGCGCAGTTTAATCCTAGCCGGTGGAAACGCCGGAAGTTTTATTTGTATGTCTGATTGTATAAAATCCTGAACTGGGTCATTATATTAACAGAAACTTCAAAACTGAGCCTCCTACCTGCAATACAAACCTAGCCAATTTGAGAGCGGCAGCACTCTCCCTTTGACAAGCAAAATCGACTGGTATGAGACATTAAACTAATAAAGTAGAGTGCATGATTGCATTGGGGCACAATGCAAGTTCGTGGGATATAAATAACAATATTATAACATGGTATTCACCTAAATAGACAGAGCAGTGTTATATGTTGATATAGTTCAAAACAGAGTGAACAAAACTGTAACTGAAAAGTTTAATCTTCAACCCTTTCGCGCTCGTATTCGATTTTTCCGCTTAGCTCGGGACAACCAAGGGACAACCTTAAATCTATTAACAACTGTATGCATGCATGTATCATATACGGTAATGTGCGTGTTTGTATAGCCCCAGCGAGTTAACGCTCTATAGAGCGTCTAGTTTTGTTATAAAATAGTGCAAATATTTTCCTTGTTCCAGTTCTTCTAGGGGCCAAAAAGATACGTGGCAATAGACTTCTGTAAAATGGCGTTTATTAGATTTAATTAACACTTAATATTAGAGTACTGGAACATAAGTGTGATGTAAGACCTACGAAAGTTTCGTCTTTTGTTCACCCTGCAAACCGCTGCTAACGCCTGCACTCTAAAAGATCACTCACAGTCACCCTTAAGTAACATTCAATTCAAGTGAGGACGTGAGGTACACTCAAGAGGGATTGAAGTGCGAGTGAAGTATTAGTCTTAACGCTCCACTCGCTGGGGGAGCACTCATTCTCTAAAACATCTTGTTCATTTGTACGTATTCATATATGTAGCTCACTCGATTGCGACTTGTCTGAGTCTATAATAGCACTTGTCGTTTCTTATTAGTGTTGTCAGTGGTTTCACATGTTTTACTAGAATCATAGCATTTACATATCTGTACGGTCAGTTGCACCCACAAAGGGAAGTCACTGAGTTTAGTTCTTCGCAGCAAATACCATGGACGAAATCTAATGTATTCCGGCATTTGATGACACGACTTTCTAATATAGCTGTGCAGGGAAATTTGCACAAGTTTCCACATTCTAATTGGAATGTACCTGTTGCATATACGGACGTGTCAAAGAAAATTGAATATCTGCAAAGACGTTCACTATGAATGCAGATATATTCCGCCCGATTATATCAATTACGAAAACCATCATGAATCAAAAACAGCATCGACACTCAAGGCAAGCTCAGATTGAACCTCCACTCTTTGAGTGTGAGTGAGCTTTTAGAATTCAGGCAAGAATCTCATACTGAGTGAGGATGAGTGAAGACTCATTGAATGTTGAGTTTCACTTATTGAGACTCATTGAATGTGAGTGTGGGGGGAGCTTTTAGATTAATACAGGCGTAAGTGTTAACGTTATTTAAAACCATAAACCTCGAACGCCCATATATATCTAACGCCACTTTTCTAATACACGCCCCCTCTTATATACCCCTAACCTTACTTATCTTATAATTTGTTTTCTTAAACTTGTAGTTGTCATACGCTGCAAATGCTTCAACATATACTAAATTGAATGATGTCAGACAATGGGCGGCAGCAAACAATGTTGAATCAGATCAAGACCCTGATCATTTTGATACTGTAACACTTCTATCAAGGTAATCAATCTTCTTCTTCATGCCGTAACGTTTCAATCATTCAAGTACTATAATAATTATGGATTATTTCAATCAAGTACTAGTCTGTTTTTAATAATAAATCCTGCTTACCTAACTAGTTTTTAAAGTAACAAACATAATTCGGTCCTTGGACTGGATCAAAATTAATTCTCCCCAATTTAAGTGGTGATTTATTCGTATGAGATGTCATTTCATCAAATTGCGCGGACTTGAAATCTAGTCCAGTCCTCATAGTCGGATTTGAAATATTACATGCATATATGAATTAATATTTCATTTTTCGCTGAAATAGTAGTATCGCTAGTGTTATTTTGCGCACCTATGACCTTTGAGAATTATTGAATTATAATACTGCATTGCGCGAGTTTGAATTCAGTAAGGTATATCTAAAATACATCGTCATGTTAAATACAAGGCCTTGTCTAATACGTACCTGTATACATTTAGATTTTAGAAGTTAATCGTAATTTTCCTAATTTTGAAACTAATAACCGTTTTTTATTTTCCCATTTAGTGGAAAATTAGGAGGTAAGTTATATGCTTTTTAATTAATTAATTAATGATTTGTCATGAGTGGCGAGCAGATCAATTATTTGCCGATGCCGAAGGCAGAGACAAATAATTAATCTGCGAGCCACTGACAAATTGCGATATTTTGCGATAACCGAGTTCAATATTTTTTTTTTACTTGTTCATTTTCATTTACTTATTTATCATTTACTTATTCATTTTCGAAATTTTGTGGCCGTCACGAAATCTGTACAACAGCAATATCTTAAAATTTCATTGTTGTGGATTATAATTTTATATACACAATAAATTGCTTTTCAAAAATCTTAAATGCGCATGCGTAAATCGATATTTTGCAATTGAGAATTGATCTCAAAAGTGCGCATGCTCAGACCATTATTTGCACCAGTTATATGCAGCTGGCCTATTATTCTCACCGGTTATTTGTACGAAAATTAGCCAATCAACGTCGAGAAAATGAACAAGTAAATGATAAATAGAATAAATGTACACGTTTTTATACTCGTATAGTTAAAGACCATGTCAAGTCCGTAATGTAAACAAATCCTTTGTTTACATTTTGAACTGTTATATTTGTAAAATAAAACATACTAACTGAATATCTAACACTTTTCTGGTTCGCTATTGTAAATTAATATAAACTAGAGTACGCTTCAATTCAAAAAAGTTCGAAAGATGCAAAATTTGGGCAATGTTTATACCAGTGGGTCCCCCTTTGTTATGTGTAGTACTGATGCGCAGAACGGACTTGACATGGTCTTTAACTATTCGTACACAAAAGAAATATAGAAATAATAACGGATCAACAATGGATCTTGCAGCACTGCAGCGGCCCATAAAATGAACATATAACTGAGGATTTCAAGTAAAGTTGACTTCAATAACTTGCAAGAAAGTCAATTTAAATACTTTTGATGTAAAGTTGACTTCAATAACTTGCAAGAAAGTCAATTTAAATACTTTTGATGGTATGAATGGAAGGACAAAAAGAATACATGGGAAATTAAGCAGTATAGTTAAGAAAGTGAGAAAACAGGAAGGAAAAATAAAAGGAAGAAAGCAAGGGAAATGAATGAAATATGCAAAGTAAGGAAATGGCAATGAAACAAAAGAAGCGAGTGTGGACGGAAGGATCGAAGGAATGGAGGAAAGAAGAAGAGAAATCTGATAAATTATAGGAGCAATAATGGATAATTACAAAAAACTAGTTCGTTTTTATGCTTACAGAACATTTGTTTAAGAGGAGTTTTTATATGTTACGTAACAAGAACGCACTCAAAACATGCAACGAGTATTAACATACTACTTGGTTATGACTACATTCATATACTTTTTAATTTTTATATACGTTTCCCAATCGGAAATCAAATATACTTAGTACTTCTTCTGTAAAATAGTACTAAAATGAAGAGTACGCCAAGAAGAAAATGAAGTTTCAAGTTCAACAAGTTTTGCTTATATTCTGTAAATATGGCGTAAATTATCGTGACGTTGAAGGACCTTGAAGCATCGTTGATAATTTAATGTATTTTTATTTACAATTTTTTATTATTATTTTATATTTCCCAACCGATACAACAAGATACATTTAAAAATATAGCTAACTGTAAACACTAGAATAAAGCTAAAACAAAGTAATTTTGAGAGGAACGCCAAAACGATTTTATAGATTCTGAACGCATTTATTTCATCGCAAATATATTTCTTAAAGTTCAAGAATGTCAACCAAGATCACTACAGTATAATGACGCAGTGTTTATTAACTTGTCATAGGAAGAGGTGTTCTGGGAACAATATGTACAAGTTCCTCGACGGCGAATGTGGTTAATTTGGCCGGTCTCAACACTGCTGCTACAATTGCACACGAAGTATTTCATAAGTGAGTAGCTATATTAATATGTGTCTGCAGGAACACTTGATAATCTTCTCAAGCTACATAGATCTTGATATTGATCTTTATTATTTATTTAAAACAATTCTGGATTTGTGATAAAAGCCAATGATAAATTAAATCATCGTATTAACTGAATGACTGACAAAATATATGAAGTTGTGACATCTTACAAGAATGTAATTTGAGTAAAAATATTGTAAAATATGAGAAAAGATTGCCATTAACAACAAAACAAAAAATGTGGCATAACGAACAAGAACGAAATGGCTTCACCTTAGTCCTCGATAAAGGGAAATGGCAATATAAATTTTTATTTTCTCATTTGAAAGAACTTTTGAAACTATATATTAACTTCTTTTACCGATTTTTCATATCTTGCTTAGTTCTAGAAATATTTTCACTTGAAGTAATGAGATGTCCGCCATCTTGGATACATTTTTGATCTCATTAACAGTAGTTTTGGTGACATCACAACAGGAATTAACCATGCATATATAAAGGTATTCTTCCTAACCCAATGGACCATTTGCATTATAGACTAAATTTTGATCTAGACAAAAATTTCATCACACCTTGAAAGAGCATCACAAAATTAGTAATATTCCAAAGTTTCATTGCGAAATGTTGTAAAATGCGGATAATATAGCCTTGCGAAGTTTGCCGTTTTTCAGTCATTTTGTATTACGCACGGGAAATTGACAGCCCAATCGGGTGTCGGGGCATCAATTTCCCGTTTGTAATACAAAATGACTGAAAACTGCAAATTTCGCAAGGCTATATTATCCGCATTTTACAACATTTCGCAACGAAACTTTGGAATATTACTAATTTTGTGATGCTCTTTCAAGCTGTGATGAAATTTTTGTCAAGATCGAAATTTAGTCTATAATGCAAATGGTCCATTTTGATTGGTATTTTAAAGGTTTTAAGTGATCTCGATATTTCGAAGGGCAGACAAAGTATATAGTTTTGAGTGCAAAATGATTAGTGGTTGTCTAATTGCGCGACCCCTGTTGTGACGTGCATGCATATCTACAAAAACTGAAGATGACGGACATTTCATTCCTTTCAATCAAAATATTTGTAGAAGCAAGCAAGATATGAAAAAACGGTAAAAGAGTATTATATATAGTCTAAAAAGTTATTTCAAATGAGAAAATAAAAAATGTATTGCCATTTCCCTTTAATTGCAGACTTAAAGTTAAGGAAAGCAACATTATAGGTCATTAGTAAAAGGCAGTATGTGCAGGTAAAATTATTTGAATTAAACTGTGCCAGAATGTGATCCGGTGTCAAGCGAAATTCCTGACCTCTGCGAAATACCTGACCAAGCGTGACGGGTCAGAAATTTCGCGCGTGCAGGCGCGAAATATATGACGCTTGCTAGATTCTAAGTCGACCGAAACTGTTTTTTAGAGTTTAGATAAAATAATTATGATGTTAATTTCTAATACTTCGTTAAATATTTCAAATCGACATCGCTATTAAGTTTTAATTTACAAAACGCTTTAAATTTCAAAGCGGATTGTGTGGTCGTAGCCGCGACACGACGTTCAGCTAAATAGAGTCGGTCGAAACGATTTTTAAGTCTATATATGATGTTACCAATAGTATTGTTAATTATTTCTAATATAAACATCGCTAAATCTAAACGGCCAATACACAAACTCATTGTTGCTGCTTACTAAATAGTAAGAAGGTCAAACGCGAAACGAGAGCGCTATCACTAAGAGCGCTTTTCGATTGACTTTTTCCATTCGCAGATTCTATATTCAACCTTTATTATCGCTGAACGCTAACGTTCACAACCCGTGTCAATTCAGTTGATCAATTGTAGAATTTGAAAATTTATGCATAAATATTATCCAACAAAATGACTTTATAAATACACGTGTTGTCTGTTGAGTTGCGAAATTTATGAGCCAAAGTCATTCATGCGCATCGTCTGCGCATGGGCAGTTCTATAATAGTCAGATATTTCGCAAGTCAGAAATTTCGCGTTACACCTGTGCATGCAGATTCCATATACCTTTTCATTAATTTTTCAAAATTTGTTTATATTTCGTGTTTATTAACAGAATCTTTTCTGATTGTATTTTTAATGTGTCTCATTTACATATAAAATATTTTATGATATGATTATTTTTCATGGAATCATAAACTCTCGCGCGTTTAGGTCTAGGAGAAAAAAGCTCGGGGAGTTGTTTCAAAGCACTCGTACTTCAGACTCGTGCAATATTGATAGCCTTTATAACTATGACTCGTGAAAGTTTTATCCGAACTGCACTGGAAACAATGCATGCTTCCTATGTCTTATACATATGTGACAAGATTTTGTATTATATAGTATTGGCTATAACCATGATGGGACAGAGGAATGTCCAAACCTAAGTTACATCATGGCGACGGTAATCCCAGCAGGACCAGCTTCATTTACCTGGTCGACATGTTCCAGAGATTTTGTGCAAAGTTTTTTGAGGTTTGTTGATAACAATACAGGGTTTACTTACTTAATTTAATGATGATTAAAGAATTACTTAATGTCGCGCGACTACACAATTAAGGTATGCATGTGCACCCGAAGCTCATGATACACGTATTCGATAAGTCGTTAGGCTTGATGAAGGAAACAATCCGCGGAGGACCTGGAGAAAACCCCTCGAAGAATAGGAGAGAGCCAACTCTATTATTTAAATGAGTTACTATAGTCTAACTGCACCTGCATGTATGGCACCCGTTCTCCCTATATATATTGCAGCACGGAACGGAAAAAGTTCTCGTATCCAGGATTTCCGTTTTTCAAATGTTTCCTGTTTTCAAAACAATGGAAATTTTGATTGTATACATTACACCATTCTGTGTGAAACAATAAAGTCTATAGACCGGGTGGAAAACGTAATTTGAAAATGAAAATTAAAGCCCAGCAAATGATTTTCAGACAAGACATGACAAAAATATAAAATTTACTGGCTAACGTTTCGTTGTATTGTTCACAACATCTTCAGAGCAATTAAACTTATTTGCAAGCGTGTATTATATATTATATATTATATATACAGCTATTTCAATTAAGGTTGTCCACGAGCAAAGCGGAAAAGTCGAATACGAGCGCGAAAGGCTGCTGGGAATCGCTAACAAATTAATGAATTTTCAAAGCGATTCCCAGCAGCCCTTCGCGCTCGTATTCGACTTTTCCGCTTTGCTCGTGGACAACCTTAATTGAAATAGCTGTATACAAATAGTTTCAAACAGTTACAATATATTCAAATATGCGAATAAGAGGAAAGGATGAAAAACAACCTGCATCATTAAAAATATTAGTAAATTAAAGATATAATGGTCAGTAATTATAGAGACCTATAGCAAAGTATTAGAATAGGTCAAGAGGGGTTGACCTAAAGTTGGCATTTAAAGTATAATTAAGCTTGGATATGAAAAGGCTTTCGCGAATGAGTAAATCTGCTTCAGACTAGTAGCAGTGAAAAGGATTTTAAAATCAGATATGAGCGAGTATATGCCTGCAGACATGGCTGAAACAGAACGTTTCTTTCCAGTCAAAGGTGAAACACACATGTGTTCAGAGATATACGCGTGTGTATATGTGTCGGCGAGTATATCTTAATTTACTAAGATTTTTAATGACAGGTTGTTTTTCATTCCTTTCCATATATATATATATATATATATATATATATATATATATATATATATATATATATATATATATATATATATATATATATATATATATATATATTTATTATATATGTAGAGAGTGAGATACTGAGAAATACACAGTGACATATTTTCCATATCTTCACTAGTGAGGATATCGATCACGTGACTTTGTTTAGAAGTATAGTTGCCTTCGCGCCTCTTTCACAATTCGCAACATGGCGAGGTTTGTCCAAATCAGTGTCGATGATGTAGAAAGGTTCAATGAGGAACACGAAAACGAAAATACGAGAAAAAGAAGTTCTACGACACAAAAGTGTTCCTTGACGGTTTTTGGTGGCCGAAGGTGAACGTAGAAAAATCAAAGAAATCCCCCTGAATGAGTTGAAGAACCTGGCAAAAAGGTTTGTCTTAAGTGTCCGAGAAAAAAAAGAACGGCGAAGTGTTTTGACAGTGTTTATTAAAACTTTTGCTTGTTGGAAACATTTTTCATAATTATTTTTCAATAATTACCTGATGTATCTTTCATATAAATATGTTTGTGTATGCAGTTAGGCTACTATCATACATGCATGGCCGTAATAAACACAATTTGCTTTTGGGCGTGAAATTTCACAATTTTTTGCTTGGGACTATATAATAAACAGAACATTACACGGCGGCTTGAAGATATGACTTTTATCTTCTCGTGTTAAAAACAATATTTTACACACTCACTGCGCTCGTTCGTAAAATATTCGGTTTTCACCACTCGAAGATAAAAGTCATATCTTCGCGCCGCCGTGTAATATCCTCTATGTAATACACGCTTGTAAATAAGTTTAATTCTGAAGATGTTGTGAACAATACAACGAAACGTTAGCCAATAAATTTTATATTTTGTCATGTCTTGTCTTGTCTTGTCTGAAAGTCGTTTGCTGGGCTTTAATTTTCATTTTTAAATTACAATAAAGCCTATATTTAACTGTATTTTTGCCATATGTTTATATCTATTAAAAAACAAACATGGATGCTCCATATATGTGCATGATTTCTTAAGATTATCTCACAATAGTTCACAATGCATGTGTGAAAAACTGAAATTGTTGCTGAACTAGTGTTATACTAAGGTAAATGTTTCGCAGGATCTAGGACTCTGGCATCCCACTTTTATCCACGTCCGCCAGACAGCATCCTAAATATATATATTCCGTTGTTCTTAATATTCTGAAATTTCAACTTTCTTAACTTTGTCTTTGAATAGGACATTATTTATATGTTGCATGGTTGCTACTGTTGCTAATTATGCAATGTACATAAAGAGCATGCATCCATATTCTTCAAATGAGAAATACGTGAATCATAATCATCATTCATATACTAGTATATAGGCTATTGCACTACATATATATATATAGGCTATTGAGTATTGCACAAACAATAGCAAGGGATACAAGTATAGGCTATTGGCTGCACAAACATGATTTTAAAACAACTCATTAATAACTATGATTGTTGATCGTTCAGTTCTGGGGCATCTCATTGTTTCGATGATCCTCCATTACCGATACTTCAACGACCGCGACCAACAGAACCATCACTATTGTTATCTCAACTTCCTGGTGTGGTATATGATGCTAATAAACAGTGTGAATATCTCTATGGCACGTCGCTTTATAAAAAATGTCCAGCAAATCAGGTGAGCGTTTTAGTTGAGTTTAATAATTATCTATATAGTTTATATATTAGTTTTATTCTTTTTTTGGCAAGTAATATATAGCACTTAGTTGTTTTTGTTTCAATTATACCGTCATAACAAGGGACATAACCTATAATAAACTCGATAAAGCTCTATAATACTAGAATATAAAAATTGTTCATTATTTCAGTATCAAACATTATTTCAGTATCAAACATTTTTCTTTATGTTGCTTTCCGTTTTCTGCCAGATTTGTTACGTACGCCTATAATATATTTCTAATTGAATTATTAATATAAAATTACATTTCAAATATGGTTTTTATATCATTCTATAGAATCAATGTGATTCTTTGTACTGTACAAAGGATTACACACGTTGTTATACTAATTTTGCTCCTCCGTTGGATGGAACTCGCTGTGGTGTCCGACATGTACGTATCTCGTATCTTTACTAATATTGTCATTTAATTTGATTTCATTTAAACTTTATTTAACAGGGCTAACACATAATAGTTTTACAGCTAATAAACTTGTGGCCCTCAGGATATGTTATGTACATACAAAATATTAAACAACATTAAAACCTGTATATGCTATCTACATATGTAATATAGTGTCTATAAAAGATTATCTAAAAATGGATTAAAAAACTTATCGTTACGTTGATTTCTTGTATTGGTCTTAAGGTTCTGGTCTCTTAAAAATGTATATGGAACTACAGGTTCGTAATGTAAACCAAATGTAGATGAAAGCACTTGCAATTATTTTATAGCCGCTCCGTTGCATCACCGTAGAGCTAGAACCAAAGCGGACAGTGAAAATTTAATAACTTCCCGAACAGTTCACTTCTTGTCAATTTATCCTAAATTCTAAAACGTATCAACTTGTACAAGGGAGAATAGAATACAATAGTTATAGAATAAAATAGTTTATTAAAAGTTACACTTTGCAGCTACAGAGCTGAATTGCGTGCAAATTACATAAAAGTATAGACTATAAAATCCTACAATTATTCAAGAATATTTACACGACATTATCAACTCAATTCAAATCTATATACAGTTAGCTACTATATATTAAAGGTTTTAACCGACGAAGGAAAAAAGTGTTTAAAATGTATTTGTGTTCAAAGTATAGTTCGTAAAAACACGAGATTGCCTCAGGTCATACTTTGTTTCCTGTTTAGGGGGCAAGAGATACGCCAACTTGTGATCAGGAATGTTAACTATTTCGTTAAAAAGTTTGATACATGCTTCTTCGCGTCTATACTACAAAGTTTAGAAATGCCACTAAGAGCTAAGCTATCGTCATAACTTAAATTAGAATATATGATAGACATATAACACTTGGCAGCAATATTCCAAAACTTGCCTAATACAGGCGCAAGTAAAAGTTAAGAATATCTGCAGTTGGAACCTTTGCACGTTTTAGTTGGACAATGAAGTAGAACCACTTGTTCGCCTTCTTAATAGTGTTAAGAATATGTTTACTCCACTTCAAATCGCTGCTAATAGTCAGACCAAGAATCCTAGCGTGCGTGACAACTTCAAGTTGGTTACCACAGACTACAGCACTCTCATGTAGCGAAGCGTGATCAGATCTTGTAAAACAAAACCTTAGTTCTTTACACTTGGTCTTGAAGTCATGGAGTTTTACATCGTGCTTGTGTTGCTTTTGCTTACATGCAACTTCGGAAATTGTGGTGTCGTCGATGTATTTCCAACAATCGCTCTTTGGAGTTCTTAGATCATTAATCATAAGAACGAGGGCCTAGTTTTGTTCCCTGAGGTACACCAGAGGGTACGCCGCCCCACTCCGAAAAACAGTCATTCGACAGTTTTACCCGTTGAAGTCTGTTTGATAAAAGGTCTAAAATCCAGATGGAACAGATAGTAGGATAATTTTTCTGTCCAAAATGAGGTGGTCAACGAGATCGAATGCTTTACGGTAACAACATTTCCAGTTCCATCAGTAGCCTCCGACCACTTGTGCACCATCGAGATTAGCGCGCGAGTTGCCGATGAGCGCGGAATGCCCCCAAATTGTGCTGGATCAGCTATATAGATAAAACAGCTGGGGCGACGTATTTCTCGACTATGAAATCCTCGGCGAATCTAGATGCTGCTGAACTGAGCGAAATTGGCCTAAGATGTTTATTAATTTCACGCACAGGTTTTTCTTTTGGGATAGGAGCGATGTTTGCTCTTTTCCAGACGATAGGAAGTTTTTCTTCCTGGTAAGACGCATTCAACAAGTTGGATATTGGGGATGCTAGAATCTCCCCATAAGCTTTTAAAATCCAGTTTGGAATACCATCAGGTCATGGTGCTTTGGACGCGTTCAGGTTCTTCAGCTTTGTTAACACTGACGCCGGAGAAGTTATCGTTTTAACTATACAGATGGAGGGTCGGTGGGAATGTCTTGATGTAAGTTAATTGGATAGATCTTCATCGCGCAAGGGGTGGTATGTGCTCATAGGTTCCAGAAAGGTGCTGTTAATTAAATTAGCAAGTTCTTTCGACGATAGGTGATCAATATTTTCTATTTGAAGTTGCGATTGAAGATTGCTGTTGTAGTTTTTCATTCCGCTGATACGTTTGACGTCAGACCACCATGTCTTGGGTGTTGATTTTTTTAAGTTACTGACTTTAGCAGCAAAGAATTTTGCTCGTAACAGTTTCCTCTCTCTATTCACTTTATTGCGGTACAATTTAAACAACTGTAAGTTTCCGGACGAAAAGGTGCGTTGGCGCAACATTATCAATCGTTTAAAATCTTTAGTAACCCATACTAACCCATGGTGCATCATTAGTGTGAAATTTAACTTTCCGTTCCGGCATAATAAAGTTGATCCCGGTGGAGATGTCAGAAAATAATTCACATTTTTCATCACAAGTGTCTAGATCCTCAATCTATTTCACTAAACGAACTCCAATCTATTTCACTAAATTAACGGCCAAGCTCCATTTTACGAGACGGTCGAGTGTCTCTTTTTAGGACAGTTCGTCGACTGGGAAGATCTTGCGCTCTCTGCTTCGGGCAGATGGTAATTATGTTGTGATCTGACAGCCCGAAGGGGGGGGGGGGGGAGAATTTTAACTGATGTGGGATCATAAAATTAATTCAGATTAGTAAGTACAAAGTCCAATATGTTCTATCCACGTGTTGGACTGCGAACCAGTTGCTTTAGTTGAAAATTGCGCTTCAAGATCTTGATATCCATCTTATTGAAATCATCCGCGATGATAGTGGCACAACCAGGATGTAGACCCTCGATCTTCGTTAAGGATTCGAAAAGATACTCGAGAATTTCATGGTCGTTTGAAGATGGAGGATGATAAACACAAGCAAGAATGACGCAAGTCACACCTCTTGGTAGTCTGTTTGGTCTAGTGTGGACCCAAAGTACCTCAAAGTTTGGATTTTCGAGCTCATCCAAGCGTTTGCATTTTATCTACTCTATAGTGTATATACAAACTCTAGGTTCAAGTACTTCAAGAGCGTCGTCCGAACCTTTCGCCAAAAATCACAGTTTTGTGTTCATTGTGGAAATAATCTCGTCACAATTTCATTCAAAGTATTGCACGCTTATTATTATACCGATAAGAACATAGAATTTCTGTTTGCTCATGTGGAACTTTCATGTTTGCCAAGAGCATTTCATCAGCCCATCACATTTAACTACAATAGCCCCGCGCTTTGGCAGAGCTTAGTCAAAACCTTCATTGGACCCTTTTCTATAACCCTTAGCATCAATAGTAACATCCAGTCACGGCCCAGGAAAATTCCATTGTCTTTTCATTATTTTGAAAATCCCACTGTTCCATTACTGCTCATTCATTGCAAACATTGGAGTTTCACATGAGGCACAACTTTTTGTCCGTGACTGTTCACCCTGACATATACTGTACATGTTTTCACGTGTTCTAATTTCCATTTTCCACACTATGTTAAGTTGGCAAAACAAACTACAATTGCGATTAATGTATGCACATGGTATTGATTGATATGGATTGATTGATTGATAATTTAGTGGTGTATCAAAGGTGTATGTGTTGATGATGGTTCTCCACTTATTGACGGGAATTGGGGAGCTTGGTCTAATTACAGTGACTGTACTAAGCAGTGTGATATTGGTGTAGCATATCAATTACGAACATGTGATAATCCGAGGTTTGTATTGTTAGATTTAACTATACATAATACATGGTGTAACAAAAAAAGTAGATAATACATGGTGTAACAAAAAAGTAGAACAATTCTAAAATGGCCACTAACTGAAAATTTTGCAAAATTATTGAAAAATTTATGTGAATATGGGTATTTCAGTATCTTTTGATTTCTCTAACATTAAAATTATTCTAAAATTCGCTGTCCGACCTAAACCTGGACTTTTTCCATTTTGCCAGAAGCTAAAACGGCAAAATATTCAAGTTTGAGAGCTCGGGTGGTGGACTTATATGAATCAAATTGTCTCATTTTGTACTTTGATAGTACAATTTTCAAACTTGCATCCATATTAAAATGTGGTTTTTAAAAATAGTCTTCATGCAATCGAAAATTCCATTTTAAGATACATCAAATTGTGAGTATTTGATAGTTCATAAAACACCGTGCAAACATCCACCCAACGAATTCAAACATTTTAAACCATTTTTGTGCGCAAGCTATAGTTTGGTGCCATTTTTTTTTATATTTTCAGTGCCAGAAATATTATTAATTCGGAGCAACTTTTGACATTTTTAAAATTGTGCAAAAAGAAACGTTTTGTTCTTATTAAATTTGCATTCTTTTTACACAAAAGGTTTTACATTATGGAAAGGTTGTTCTTTATTTTATATGAATATTTTCAATTTTTTTTCATACGGTAATACTAAAAACATCAATTCTTATGCAAAAACACTGAAATGGAATTCATTCTTCGGACTCGTGCTGTTTTCATAATATTTGCACAACTCACTCGTGCATGTTTGTTTCCAAATTGCACTCGTCAGTATAAGTAAGCCCAACCAGCGCGTCAGTAAAAGAAAAATAAGGAAAATACTTTTGGTGATCACTTGCCACTTGGCAATATTTATTATTTATATAGTCCTCAAAATGGCGGTGAAGATTGTGAAGGGAGTTTCCGTGGTAATTACAAGACATGTAACACACAGGTACTGTATGCTTCAAATTTTAAAAGTAGCATTCTTTCCTTCGAAATGAACACATGTTGATATTGTTGAATAACTTCACCACTTTACCTCATACAGGAATGCCCAGATAATTCAGTTTCTTTCCGTCAAATGCAATGCTCAGCAAAAGGAGAATACTCAGAATATATTGCTTCTTCAGGTAAGGAAATGCACGTCCATCGAGTTGAATTCAAAAGCAAAACTACGAAAGTAATTATTGGCCTTTGGCATGGTAAGTTGTGTGAGTAAGCACTTTTCACTTCAGCACATTTTACAAATTCTGTTGCAGATCCTTGTTCACTAGTGTGCAGATCAGGCTCCAGGATTTTCTGGTTAGGTACAACCATAGATGGAACAAGATGTTCTAACAAAAAAGAAGACTTAAGTGTTTGTATTGAAGGCCACTGCAAGGTAATGGGCATCGCTGTATGCTTCTATGTTTTGTTGGTTTCTGACGATTTCTTTCGTTACTTTAACTGAATCAGTCCGTACAATATTCCAAAAGGTTCATTCGCGCTCAACCGTGTCCCCATGCAAACCCTGCTTGGTAGTACGGCCCTTCGTATACACCCTGACCACTGCAGATTAAGCGGTGTTCATATCTTTATCACTCTTTGTCTTTGTACCTGGTACCCAGAGATTCTTGAATACGGAGTTGTATTCAATGCACAATGACAAAAGTGATAAAAGACGTAAACATGATTCGTATGGAACATAAGATTTTTCTGTTTCGTGTGCGCAGGAAGTAGGGTGTGACTACAGCCTTGGTACTGGAAGACGTTTCGATCGTTGTAAAGTTTGTGGAGGAGATGGCAGTTCATGTGCATTAAATGTTGTCAACTACACCAAACCACATCGGGGATACGGTAAGAAAATTGTAGTAGCTTAATAAGAATAACCGGATGTTTTTATAAATTTAATGACTCACATCGATTCCCTCCATTTTGCATTTTTGCGAACCTGTGTCAGGGGGCCAGGCTCCAGTGAAGCGCTCTCCATCTAAAGGACTGTTCCCCTGCTTTATCTTTATCTCTTTATCTTGTTCCAGTTCTCGTAGAACAAGCAGAATCTCCATGCCAATTGCGCAATGAAGAATCGTGTTGGTTTTTCTCCCTTTTCATGCCACAGTGCTCTACTTCGTACCATAACACCCTCTGCTAGCTTCTTTGCCCAAAATTTCCTTATAGCATTCTTTTACGTGCTTTATGTCAATTAGGTCTTATTAAGATTGCCACATCTCTGGCGAAAGTTGAGCCAAAGCTCCAATAGGCTTCGGTCTCCTCTGTTCGTCCTTGTCTGTATTGAAACTTGGTTAAACAATACAATCCTTGATGCAGAACTACTCACAGGTTTCAATATTTTTCGTCGGGACAGGACGGGGAGAATTGGCGGTGGAGTTCTAATCGCGATTAAAGAAAACCGACATGCTACTCGGCGTTGTGACTTCGAAAGAGATGGTATTGAACTTGCTGTAGTTCAACTCGATCAGCAATTCTTTATGTGTATTACCGTCCTCCCAACTCCTCTCCTGATGCCGGTCTCAGTCTTCTAAACAACTCCATAGCAACTAACCCGGAGACATGTTGCATAATCCTAGTTGGTGACTTTAATATTCCTTCTATCTCCTTGTCAGACAGCCCATCAACTCCTATTAACACTGGTGGATGCTCTAATGATGAAAACCTTTGTGAACTTATCGGCAATAATTTTCTGTATCAGTTCGTGGAAGGTCCAACCCACCGTGCTGGAAATAAGCTTGATTTGCTGTTTTGTAATCGTACCGAAACCCTGTCCGACGTACTAACTCTCTCCTGTGATGAACATAACTTTCCGACTGATCACTATACTATTGAATTCCTTATTCGCACGAAGTTCAGAAAAGCAAAACCTGTGCGGCGAACAGTCTATGATTGCAACCGAGCTATCTTTCCCGAACTTTGTAAAGCCTTGTCTCAAACAGATCTTCATGCATCTCTTTTGGACAACATTAATGATTGTTGGAAACATTGGAAGGACTTATTTTCATCAGTTGTGTCAAGTTAATACGTTCCGACCAAAGTTGTAAGGGACACCAACTCTCCTCCTGGATCGATGGAGAAGTTCGCCATCTAATCCGAAAAAAATACACCGCATTACGTAAATATCGCTTGAAGAAAACGCCTGAACGTAAGGTTAAACTCCGGACATTGTGTCAGCAAGTCAAGAATGTTATTCGAAAGAAGCATAAAAAGTATTTAGACAAAATGAAGTTTCATTTGAAGAAAATCCGAAACTGTTTTGGAATTACCATAAAGCGGCACTCCACCACCGTTCAGCATTGAATCCTGTCATCTTACACAACAATGAGACAGCGATGACCCCAAAACAAAAAGCAGAACTTTTTAATTCATACTCTTGCTCCGTTTTTCGACCACTTAATTAAAGCTTTATCTATCCCTGATGAATCACCTCTCTTACTGTCGCCTGTGGAAAAAATTGTCAGATAAAACTGTCTCGGAAGAAGTTGCCCATCATCTTGCATACTTCGATCCAACTAAGGCAACAGGCCCCTATGGTATTCCTGCTCGGGTATTGAAGGAATACAGTTATCCCATTGCCCGAAGTCTTAGCTCACTCTTTAATCATTCATTGCACACTGGTACTGTTCCATCTGAATGGAACTCAGCTGATGTTTCACCAATTCATAAAAAAGATAAGAACTAGCTATCAACCACCGTCCAATTTCACCGCATCTATCATCAGCAAAGTCTTGGAGCGATGCGTTTGTAATCGTTTCTACGAAAATATCCGAGAAACGAAGCTCAGCATGGATTCCTTCATGGCCGTTCTTGTGCTACACAGCTTCTTTCAACGTTACATCGTATTGGACAATTGCTTGACAAACTTGAAAATTGCTTGACGGACATTATATTTCTTGACTTCGCTAAAGCCTTCGACTCAGTGGATCATGTTATTCTCTTAAGAGAGCTGAAAGATTACGGTATCCCAGTAAACCTTGACAGATAGTTCTCTGACTACCTACATAACCGTACTCAGCGTGTTGTTGTAGAGGGTGCTGCTTCGTGATAGTCCCATGTCACTTCTAACGTTACACAGGGAAGCATCTTGGGTCCAATGCTTTTCTTACTCTTCATTAACGATCTTGCGCACTCTGTATCTTTCGCTCGTCAAGTCACAATTATGCTATGCCATACAGAGGTCTGGTCTCCCTCCCAATATAATAACAAATTAAATCTGGAGCAAGTCCAAAGGCGTGCAACAAGATGGATCCTTCAATCGAAGAAAGGTGGCATGACCTACAATAGCCTGCGTGGCAGGCCCTCAATTTTATGGGGGCCTGATTTGCAGCGGGCAGGATTTTGCGGGCACGGGGGAGGATTGAGGGCCTGCAGGAAAGCCACCTTTCATGACTACACGCCCCAGTCATAACATAATTAATGGCTTTCTAAAATTGACCAATAAAAATTCAGCTGCTATTGGGGAAAACCCTGGCCCGAAAGAAATAGGTTCGCTTGCACGTAAACATGCCAATCAAACAATATTGCGAATAATTAAACTGACAATGACACTCCCGACGGTTTTTAATACAGTATTGCAGATTTTGTAAATGTTGTTTTAAATTAAACAGCAATTCGGCAACTTTAGTAAAATTGTCCAAGTTTCATCACAAAAACCATCACAAAGAAAACAATCTTTCGGAATTGTGCTCTCAGATTATATGTGACAAAAATGCTAAAAGTAACGGAATTAAAATCTTCAGTTAATGCACTACACGAGAAGTTTCAACACCATTACCAGCCCAAAGATGTAGAAACATCAGGAAAGCGTAAACTGTTAACTCCTGACCAGCTGACCGTGGCGCTAGTCCATTCAACCAAACTGAATCAAATCGCGTTTGTTCTCCGCGATGTTCTCCGGGTAGTATGTCTACCGGGTGTCCCAAAAAAAAGTACTCCTGTTTGATTCGTAATAACGTCTAAACAAGTAAAGCTTTTAAAGAGAAATAATTTGCATCAAATAGAGGAAGGACTAACTTAGATTTTGATATATTACAGTTGTATTTTACTTAAAAATTCACGGAGATATTAATCTTTAAAATCGGGAGCATATTTCTGGATGTGTCTGAAATATGCAAAAAACGGCGTATCAAATATTAATCAAGATTTGCCCGACTGAAACATGCACTATTACCAGTAAACAAATGATACTTGACAAATTGTTTATTATGAAACAAAGTAGTATTATATCTACAAAATACAAGCACGATTTATTCGTCCGAAATTCGCGTGTGTTCCTAGCACGAATACGTTTCCTTATTTCATGAGACCACTGCATCGCGAAAGATCGTCATGGATCGTTCGTAGTTCTGAATTATGGCATGCTGTCACAACGGAATTGTGAAGCTCTTCTAACTTCTGCAACGTTCTGAAATCTTGTTAAGAACACCCAAACTCTTTTGCCTTTTCTTAATCTTGGCAAGTTCAGAGTAAACTGAGAATTATATGAAACACAATCAAACCATACAACTCCATAAGACATAACAATTAAGCAACTCCCCAGAGACATGCAACATTTTTGGAACAAAACGTAATAAAATAGTAGCGTTGATACGGTGATGTGTATTTGCAAAAAGCAATATTATTTCCTTCAATAAAGAATAATATTCATCCTGCTCTAACCGAGAAATAATCTACTCAGTCTGTTTGAACCATTAAAAACATAAAAAAATTAGGCTATTTAAGAATACGAAAAATTTAAGCGCCTGCCTTCCATGGTCAGTCTTTCATGTACATTTAAGTTCGTAAAGACCTAATATTAAATACTTGCATAATTTCGAACGTTCATATTTCAGGAAACAATGAGCTAAGACTTACATGTAAGATGTCTAAATCTACGCCATATCCCTTACAAACCCTAACGATAATTCGCTGAAATACAAGTTAGCCTGATATGTCATTAAGCAAACAAACGCTGGAGTTAATATTTGATATGGCGATTTTCGCTAATTTTAGACACATCCCAAAATATGCTCCCGATTTTGAACATTAATATCTCCGTGAATTTTTAAGTTAAATACAACTGTAATATATCAAAATCTAATTTAGTCATTCCTCTATTTGATGCAAGTTATTTCTCTTTTTTGGGACACCCGGTATATATATATATATATATATATATATATATATATATATATATATATATATATATATATATATATATATATATATATATATAAAAGCTCAATATGACTTAAAGGCCATAGAGCGATATCTAACTACAGACGGTACCGTTTCGGCCTTATCGGCCTCATCAGTGTAGCGCTGATGAGCAGGATGAAAGTAACTGCTATTTACAGTTACCTTTGATGCCTCACGATTGTGGGACATCCAAACCATGCCAGATCGCTCAAACTGCAAGCAGTGAGCGTGCGCAATGCGTAAACGGCATGGCTCATGCATGCATATATATATATATATATATATATATATACACTGGATCCAGAAAAGTTTGACCTTCGAATATATATATATATGTCGGCCATTTTGAATTTTCTTGGGTTAATTATACGCGAACGCATACATCAAATGTCGCTCGCAACGTATTGTATATTGCAATATTATTCCAACAGCTCAAATGAATAAAAGAATCATTGATTGATGTCTTTTGCACATAATCATAATGGCTAGTAGGAAATGAACATTTGGAAATGAACATAATGGCTAGTAGGAAATGAACGTTTCTGCTTCGCCAGGTCACGAATGCTGCGTGTGCTGAGTTTCAGGGGATGAAATATCGAATGACTATCGATTCCGTTAAAATTTCCGTTGGCAAAATATAATAGAGAGTTCGGCAAATACAAGGGCAACCGCAACGGCAATATGGTCATTAACAATAGCATTAATCCTCAAAGACAAAGGCGAATGTAAATTAAATGGTCTTAAGCGTTGTGCAATGCCGTAGTTGTTGAAACTAATACGTGATTTGCATCATTTTCACGGTGCATGACTACGGCAACAATTCATTCGTTCGATGTTATTTGAGAGTTTTATTGAATTCGCGGACTATTTTTATTTAAGCGTACGTTTGAAAGAAACAGGAATACTTAATGAGGCAAATTAAGTGTAGTAACGTATACTTTGACTCAAATACAACAATATAAGCAATTATATTTTCCCCGTTGCAGTTGTCGTTGCCGTTCTAGGTTGCCAAACTCTTTAATATAATATTCTGGACGCAGGTTACAGCTATAAATTAAGCACAAGTGAATACGAAAGAATGAACAAAGAAATTCATCGAGGCATGCTAATAAGCGTCTAAATCTGTAAGGTGCAAAAGAATAAATTACGACATGCCAAAAAGATCAGGTTCCAAATTGTGACAAGAGTTAATTAGCTAACAACCCTCAAATGTTCATTAGATAGCTACTACAAATACGTGTAAGAACTTCAAGCAATGATCCTCTACTTATTTGTGCTGTTGGAATATTGCAATATACAGTACGTTGCGAGCGACATTTGGTGTATGCGTTCACGTATAATTAACCCAAGAAAATTTAAAATGGCCGACATATATATATATATATATTCGAAGGTCAAACTTTTCTGGATCCAGTATATATATATATATATATATATATATATATATATATATATATATATATATGCATGGATGAGCCATGCCGCTTACGCATTGCGCACGCTCACTGCTTGCAGTTTGAGCGCTCTGGCATGGTTTTGATGTCCCACAATCGTGAGGCATCAAAGGTAACTGTAAATAGCAGTTACTTTCATCCTGCTCATCAGCACTACACTGATGAGGCCCATAAGGCCCAAACGGTACCGTCTGTAGTTAGATATCGCTGTATGGCCTTTAGGTCATATCATAGTCCATGTATAAAAGTGTCTGGAAACGCGGCATACATCAAAGCAATTCTTAGCGAATCTTAATTATGTTGAGGGCGACTATGACGTCACAGCGTAAGTGCACGCTTTGTTTTTAAAATGGCGGAAGCGACAGATATTAATACACAGAGCAATGTCACAAACAATGCTTCGCTTGAGCATTTGAGCGGTAATATCAGCGACGAAGAAGCATTACTGTTTAGCTTAAGCTTAACTGACAATAATGCTGAAGAGATTGAAAGAGAAATGGACCTCGCAATAGCCGATGTAAGCTGTTAATTTGTATTGAATGAGTGTTGGTATGGCCGTGTATGAAGACATATATTCATACTATATACACAATTTTTTGTAGATTCAAGAATGTACAACAGGCTTTTTATGTGTTGACTGCAATGAAATTTGTAAGTCCAAGGGAGGATTAACGCTGCATCGAAGGAAAAAGCACGTTGACGGCGTATTTTATAGTGCTAGCTCGACTGAACCAGGCGAACCAAAACCGGCTAAACGTGATTGGAACAAACTAGCAAAAGAAAATTTGTCTTGCAAAAGTCTTTGCGATCTTGTTGAAGAAACAAAAGCTGAATTAACGCAAAATAATCTGTACCCCGAAGAATTTGTCAAAGAAATAAAAGATTCTCCGCAATTTACATGTTCCGAGAAGGATGATTTGTACAAAGAAATTATCAAACTGTTTAAAGATTATGCTAAAGAAAGGCAACCCAGAAAAGTACTATAAAACGTTCTACAGTTCTCTCATGTTGCGAGCACAATCTCTGCTAAAACATATATATAGGGACGATATTAGTAAAGTTCTGATGATGTATATTGCAGACAAAATCCTGTCTGTTGTCAAAAAGTCTCTTTCTTCAGATCAGTTCAACAGGATGGTCAACAAATCTCAATCAAAGACTCTGAGCGTGGGCCTTTGAATTACTTGACAGGCTATTGCATTCGAACCTTATTTCAAAAGTGCAAAAAACGTGAGGTCAAACAGCAGAGTTCCCCAGAGACGGGTGAGTTTATTTCTTTACTTAGTTCACTTCACATTGACAAAGAAATGGCCACCAGTAATGATTATTACCTGATCAAAGATAAAGACAAAGGGGGTCTTTGGTATCCAAAGGAGTATCTAGCGCAAATTATGTTGACTGCTGAGATGGAGTTTCGAATTTCTACAGAGGGCAAGAATATTAGCCACAAAGTGAACTGTGGTGAGATCATAATAAAACTTCTAAAAAACTCTCAAAAGATCCAAGTGGACAATGCTGGTTGAAGAGTGTATCACCCACATTGATTCAAGAAGATCAAAGGTATTTCTAGCAGAGCTTCTTCAACATCTTAAGGTTCGAACATTTTCATACTCGAAAGATATCTTGCAAAAGTATAAACTAAAACAAAAACAAAGTAAAAAGAAAGCATTGCGAACAGAAATGAAAGGAAAAGAACGATGTGCAAGCACATTTTGATTAAAAGTGTATGTCACAAGGCCAAGTTCCCTTTTAATAGCTGATCTGCAAATAAGAGGGTGCCTTCCCTGCTGTGGGCCCATTTGTACATGGACTGTAACATTTGTATCAATGTAAACATCTGGCAAATGTAGAAAAAAACAGACTGTTTATATATTTTTTATACATTCTGGTTTATATTTTATATCATGCGATTCAGACTATCTATCAGATAACTTAAAACTGTATATTGAGTATCAGTCTTTTTGCTACGTATAATCGTATAATAAGCATTTAGCATATTAGGTAAATGTAAAAACTGCTAATATCAAATTGAATACATTAGTCTGGCCAGGTACTGGAAAAGCAAGATAACTAAATCTGATAATCAGAATACTGTTTGTTACTTTTTGTAATGTTCTGGTCTTCTTAATTAGTAGGGTATTTTGTCCTAGTTATATTTTGACTAGCTGGTAAATGACTGAACATCACTTGTTGCTACTATTTAACCTGAATAGGGCCTAAATTTGTTTTAAGTATAGGGAACATCAGTACACATTACAGCCTAATGGGTCTAATTATCCTGCTGTCCAGCAACTTGAGTCACTTGGCCAGATATTATAACAAACATGATATATCTAGTGCATCTTTAGTTACTTGCAAGGGTGTTTACTAGATCATTTTGTATCTAACAGGAATCCACAATATTATATAAAGTCTTTTTGTTTGATTTTGACTTCCTTGCCTTTAGTGGAGTATCATCAATTTCAGTACTATTTTTTTGTTTTTTGGAATGCCTGCCGGCTACATTACCTTGAATTGCAGGCAGGATATTTCTCTGAATGGATAGGGCATTAGCATTATAGCCGAACTCGAACAAATTTGGGTTGTCGTTTCTGTTACCAATTGCACGTAGGTAACCCAAGTATTCTTCAACCACGTCTTGACAAAATCGTTCTGTAAGAACAAATTTGAATCCTTCTTTTAAAAGAAACCTGACTGCTTCTATAAGAGAGTATGATGTCATCTTGATCCCTTCATATGTTTGCCACGATATAAACATATTCTGTTGTTGCTGAGGTGAAAAGTTTCCTGTCCGCTTTGAGATGCTACTTTTCCAGCTCTCAAAATAAGGCAGAAATACCTCTGTTAACCACAGCAAACGGTCATCATCAGGATCTTGATAGGGCTTGACATCATCATTATTTTTCCAGTTGTGCTCTGTGGTTGAGCGTACATTGCCACAATCAAAAAATTTGTTCATCATTGAACAGAGCATCGCAGTTTCGCTTGCTTCATCTGACATTAGGTGTTTCAAGGCAGTTGAAACTGTGTTACTTAATATTTGAACTGCAAGCTTAACACGCATGGTTGAGTATGAAGTGAGCAAAATGTGATCAGCAGTGAGTTTAGGTACTAGGTGAAGTCCACAGTCTAAATCCAGACGGTACATATTTGATATATGGTCCCAAATTAAATGCTTTCCATTATCCCATAGGTAGCGAGTACAACCAACACCAGAATGGTAAAGGCAGTTTCTACAAGTTTTCATAAGATGGGGTGCATCTGAGAAAAAGTATATATTTCGGTGGGGCTTGAAAATGTTTATTGTCTTGTAAACAACAGATTTATCAGCTGAATCTTTTTGCAAGTCTTCGTGAAATTTAAAAAACTTTCGATTGCATGAAGCACCATCTGCAGTTGCCGAGATTACCCAAAGATTGCAAGTCAGTTCCAGAATACTAACAGCTCGCCAAAACAATGGCATTAATTGGAGGGCAGTAACATCATGTGTTGCAAAAAATGCCAAGCAGAAATTCAAATCAGTTGCCAATCCTCGAACATAAAAAACTAAGGCATGTGAAGCTAACTCATCAACATCATCCAGAGTTACATAATTTATACTCGGCTCACCAAAGTCTACAAAACCAACTAACTCATTAGTTTCTTTGTCAAATATGAGGTTACACTGAATTTTCATTTCATCAAATAGTAATGCTATGTAGTGTTGAATACCAACATACTCTTTTGTTGTCGATATTAACTCCTTAATGACATCTTTGTTGAAACCTGCTTTGGGTTTGATCACATTTTTGTAATCTCTCAGCCGCCGTCTACTAGGCAACTTTAGAACTTTGCTTAGCTGGTCATAGGCGGATGGTGACTTTAAGGCAATTGAAAGGCAAAAGCGAATCATTGTTGGATGCCATCTCATTTGCCGTGCATCTCCATAACCCATAACCTTTTGCTGTTGCTGCCAAAACAACTTCATCATTGGAGAACTTTCGAAATTAGTTCCAGATATGATTGACAGTAGGTCAGAGTGAAGTTCACTGGTTACTTAAATACTATGTCCCCTTATTCTAGCTTACATTTCTTCTAACTGGTTTTTAAGGGCTTTGCACTCCATTCTCTTTGCTTTTAGCGAAATGGCAAGTCGTGGTTGAGAAGTGGTAGATAATGGGGCACGATCTTTAACAGGTTCAAGAATTTTCCTTGACTGTCTTGAAGCAGATCTTGACTTTTTGTCATCTGCATTTTTACATGCACAACATTGAACTGTTTGACAAAGTACAAAACAAAATTCATGCCTTTTATAAATAGTAACCAAAGGGATTGGTGAGCCATCATAGTCAAGTGGTTCCACAATTTTCTGTACTGAGTGCCTCATAAATTTACTCTTTTCATGCACTGGATCATTTACTTCATTTTCTTCGACATTACCTAACCCAGAACAGACACTATATTTTATGACATTTGATAAAAGTGAGTAGGCTGTAGTAAACCTGACTGAACGTTTGTGTTGCAAGTAAATTGGATGATCATCAGGGATGAACCAGCCATACACAGATATACTAAAGCCAAGACTGCAATCAACAATAACTTGAAATTTTGCAATATGATGGACACCATCAAACCAGGCAAACGTAACATTTTCCTTATTTTGGCTTACTGTCCAGCCCACGAGCTTGAGTGATGAAATATGCAATTTAAAATCGTCCAAATTCGTATAAAGCGGTTGCATATCTGATATTGTATTTTCGTGCGTGTTTGTTGAAGAACAGCCATCATTTTGAATTCCATCTGGATGCCCATTTTCAGTTGTGGATCTTCTTGTAACACGAGCTCGCGAATACGTTTGGAGACTTTTCTTTGGTAAATTAAAAGTGGGTAATGCTCCAAGTTTCAGTGTCTTTCTACTCTTGTCTGTGCACATACAAAAATAACAAAGGAACAGGATTATTAACCCCATAAACATGAGATAATTCCAAGCATGATTAATATGTACATATTTAATCCAAAACAACGCACGAGATTCAAATGTTTGACAAACAACATAAAAACATTTACTTACGGATTTCTATATCTTCAGGCCTAAAATGTTTTTCACATACGTGTAATTTTCCTTCATTTATTTGCCTCCGTAGATCTTTGTCAATAACTCTGTCTCGAGTTATTATGGCTAGTAATTTCTTTCGCCATTCAACCTTGTTTTTGTTCACCTTAGAACGTCCAGGAATCGCAAATAAGCTGATACCATTGTGTTTCTTCCTCCATGAAACAGTGCAACCAAATATACTGCAATTTGCCCCTGGCATGAAGCGAAATTTGATACTTTTTGAATGCACAATTGTCTTCGTGTGCTTATTTCCGTCAAAATTATCATCGTGCGTGCACCCATATTTGCACGTGACCACAGTCAAAATTAAACATAACATATTGCTTTGATGTATGCCGCGTTTCCAGACACTTTTATACATGGACTATGGTCATATTGAGCGCTCTACAGGATGAGCCATGCCGCTTACGCATTGCGCACGCTCACTGCTTGCAGTTTGAGCGCTCTGGCATGGTTTTGATGTCCCACAATCGTGAGGCATCAAAGGTAACTGTAAATAGCAGTTACTTTCATTAGCAAAAAATGGCTTACTAAATATTAATATTTATTATATAGCAAGCATTTGTTTTGATGAATCGCGCATTTTGATTGGCTGCTGACGAGGCAGGATTTTCCCGTATTGCCCACGGGCAATACGCAATTTTTATTGCCCTGCGAAGAGAGCCGAGTTTCAAACAGCAAAAAGTGTCTAAAAGTCTTTCATAAAATTTGTTTTGTAAGAGGTTTTCCTGGTGCTTGAATAAACAGAAGACCATTTGTGGGGGTGTAGTGACAGATAGTTTTGTAAAGGTTATACTGGACAAATATCTGAATTAGTGGCCCCGACTGTCATAGTATGACCCAAGCGAAATTGATTAGTCTTGGACTCCTTAATATGGACGGTCATGAATACTGGACCTTTTGTGCCAAATCTAGGTGCAAAGAGGATGCTGTCACGGGTAAGATCTATGTTCGGATTGAATTTACAGTTGCATGTTATTGACCCTCCAAGACGGAGAAACTCAAGAAATGTTAATGTCATGGCTGCCCAGATTATCAGAGAATCAAAACTTTGTGTGTTGGTTATGCCAGTAACATTCTGAAAAGCTGCAAACGGTGGATTGTGATTAGGAGGCGGGAACTAATTTTGTCACCATGGGAGCGTTTAATTCATCGTAACACAAGTTGCAAACGTAATATTGTGTGCAAATTTAATTGGAAGCCATGCTGAATATGGTAGTGACGGACTACTGCTAAATATGTTTTCATTGATGGATATTTGATAGATTTGGCAAGAAATACGACTAATTCTGTCAACATCAATTCGTCAGCCGGTATAAACTGCTCAATATGTTTTCGCTTGTATAAATGGATGAATGTTATAAAGCGTTTTTCACAAGAGCTATAAGTTTGTTGTTTTCTAGATTTAAGAGATAAATTTATGTAATGTTGGATGTCTTCATGCAGAGAGTCATTACAATTTCTGGTATCTGCATCCGAAGCCAATTGTTGAAACCTCTGAAATTGAAAACGATAAATATATTGCATCGGCTATGTCATTGTGTTTACCAGGAATATTGCACAGCACGGATGTTTATATTGTGTTGCAAGGTTAGGAGTGTTAGATGACGCAGTAAGTCCATAACCCTGGGGATTCGCAAACGCTTAGTATTAATAATTGTCACCACAGCCTCATTATCACAATGAAACTTAATCCGGTGATCCTCCTCCAATCCGGTGATACCGTCTCATACTCCTGCCAAGATATACTTATATCAGGCTCGCCAAGTTTTTTATGTGGTTCCCATGCTTCCTGAAACCACTTCTCCCCCAAAATACCCCCAAACCCCAATGTGCCAGAGACATCAGTATGTAGCACTAAAGTACCAGAGTCATGCCACTCTGATGACACAAAGAAATTTGCCCCATTCTAGTTAGGAATAAACTTCTTCCACATTTCAGGATCTTGGAAGAAACCAAAATTCATCTTAATGTGGTGATGTGGTTTCTTGATGTTTCTTGTTAGAGCAATCATGCGTTGTACGATCAAGACGTGAAAATCTGTGATTTAGCGTTGTAAACAGGGCGAGGACAAATGTCTAAATTATTCATATATTGTAATTACTCAATTCTTTCAATAATCTATTATATTGGTAGCCGTTGCCGTCGCGTTGCCGTCCTAAAATTGTAAGGTCTCTACTATAGGGTTTCAGACAGCAATGCGATATGTTAACGAGAGACCTGATTCCTACCATTTATATGCGTTCTTTGTACTTAAAGGCTGATTACATTGGTTTCCCGGACTGAAATTGCAGCCCGGCCTGAGAAGTACAGTACCCATGGAATCAGCCCTTATAATTCACAGCACGAAAAGCGTGCCCTTAATATGGTTGTAAAGGCAGATTAATCGTGTATTTTATTAGTGTTTAGTTACACTTATATAATGCGATTTATTAAAGGCACTAAACCACAGGCGGCCCAATCTCAGAATGAATGATCAGGTGTTGCGGGTTTTTAACGGTTTTTATAAACAAATTTATAGTCAACCAAAATTATTCTAAAAACATTCTCAAATTGGTCAAATAAATACATTTTAACAATAAAATATAGTTGACATGATAATATAACACCTTTGCATTCTTTTAGTTACTCCATGAGCTCATTTAGAGCGGTTGATGTAACATTTTCTGTGGCCTACATTGTGTGTGCTCATTATATATATATATATATAACAGTAAAAGGCTAATCACTGGCGGCACGACCGCATCGCCTTCAAAGTCAAATAACTGTATCATTGACATTACTGCAATTATAAATGTGACTCCAATCACATGTCTCCAATTTGCTCATCATGCTGAATTTCCGATGAGCTCTTACGTCTCTAAAGTATACATCCTTTCTTTCGGGTTTTATAGCTTGTCGCGGGGAAACCATGACAACCAAATGGTCAGATCTTACTAGACCTTTGAAAACCTTTAATTTTTCCGAAAGATGTGGACAGTTGGTTAAAAATACATTCAAAATTTTATGATTTCGGGTGGGCTTCTTGACTAATTGTTCCAAGTTTTGCTGACTGATAAGGTCCTTTGTTTTTAATTGATTAATGTCTAATAAGTTCTTTGAATGTTTGCATGGCGATAAAATATAATTGTTTTTGTTTGTGGAAACACCACGTAAATTTATTACTGCAAAGCTTTCGATCCGTAGGCACGGATCTTCATCAGTGCTAATAATATGTCTCCTGCTATAATTATTCTTGCATTGGGCTCAGGATAAAGAATCTGTTCTATAGTTTCAGACAAATGATTTAGTAACTCAGTCTCAGGATAAATTACCTGATTACATCCGTTGGATTCATTCTGGTTAATTTCATTTTCTTTCGTACGAAAAAACTGAGCAACTCGAAAGAAACAAGCCTGAAATTACTGACTGCGATATATTTTTGCCAACACGAATCTCGGACATATTCTTTGACATTGAAAATGATCCGTCAAATGAAATCTTGCAACAACTAGCTCTCCTTTGATGGTTACCAATTGAAGAAAGTAACTGAATACTTAAAAAAGAACAGAGAGAAAGCTGACAAAAGCTGCCGTGATAATGTTGGACCTGGCGCAGTCATCCTCTTTATAAACTTAACATGGTCGAATTAGAACAAATGTGCAAGAAAAACAATGTTTCATTCAAAGGTCCGAAGTACGTAATTGTTAAGGCGTTGGTACTTGCTCAAGATGAAGACGTTCCAGACGATTTTCGAGCCGACTATAAATGTGATTTGGGTTCGTTGCCAAAAAGTATTTCGATGTTAAAAAAGTTACCTGCTGCAACTCTTCAGTATATTTTGAAATACCACAATTTGTCTACAGCTGGTAAGAAAGACAATTTGATCCTTCGTGTGTTTTTATTGCGAAACGGAAGATCTCATTTGGCATCTTATATGCAAGTACGCGAAATAAAGGACTTGATTAAATTGGTTCAATCAATGATATTGTATCAAGTCAACTGTGAAATTATTGATCAACCGGACGTTTACCGAACAAGAAAATTTTCTGGAAAGAATTTAGCAAAGAAATCCCAAATACCAATTCCATATGGTGTCTCCAAGGAAAACTTAGAGAACTTATTTGAATTGAAACTTTATTAATATACCTGAACCATAAAACACATCACAGTTCCAACATGAATAAGGTTGAAAACACAATGGGGAACAAAACTGGTAGTAACGAAGTTAATTATGAAGATTATTTCGAAGTTGGCTCCAATGTAAAAATACGATGGACATCAGAGGAGATAGGAGATTCTGGATGGAAACCAGGCTGGTATACGGCAGACGTACAGTCGTCCACAATTGAAAATGATGAAATTTCTGTTGTGTATGTCAGTGAACCAGACTGTGTTTATTCTGTGGAGGTGACGCCACTGTTAGGTCTAGGCAAATTGTGTATGTAGAGCACGGCTCAAACAAAAAGCAAAATAGGATGATTGCAAATGTCTTAATTAAGGCCCGTTTGCACTTGCAATTTTTGCTGCGATTTCTAATGCCATTTTTTCCTTCTGCTGTATGTGAACGTAGCCTCCTCCGCAGGCCTCTCTATGGGTTCTAGCCTGCGAATGGGTTTGAAAAAATAATTTTCTGGGAGAGAGGCCTGCCATAAATCGAACAAAATGGACGTGTCAATGTACCAAGTGGCCGTGTCAATGTACCCCACCCCTTAAGTAGGCTTTTGACCCTTATTATATATTCAGTTTGAAATCTTCGGGCGAGGAGCGAAGCTTGCGATTTTAAAAAACATTAAAAACTTTAAAAATGTTTTATAATGCGTCAAAATATTCAAGCTATACGAAAATTAGTTGGTCAATTGAAAGGATTATATGTCGCAATGTCTCTCGCGGTCTAAAAACGACGTGCAAATTCTGAATCGCTCGCTCGAAGCAGCCAAGTGTTTACAAATTATGTCTACAAATATGTATTGAATGTATGGGTTCAGAGTTCCGCTCAATTGTTCAGCCGAGGAACTACAATTTGAGGAAATTATCTGGCATAATTTCGAACGCAAAACGCAGAATGGAACGATACGAAAGGTATAATTTGTTTAATAAAGGGATTATATTAAATTGTATTGTTTTCTGGAATAATATTTTGACATGTCTATAAAGGGGTTGAAAATTTGATTATATTTCACTAATTTTAGTCAAATAATCAGGCATTTGGCAACATGCTCAGTGAATTGATATATAGAAGGAAAAGATCTTTCTGTTGAAGCAACCATTTCAATAAGTGAGGAGAGAAATATCAAAAACAGAAATTTGATTACTACGAACATCAAGATTTTGTTGGCATCTTAATAAATTATAAGCTTGGTTTACATATGCCTGCGGTATGCCTGCACTATCATTGTTTACAGCTGTTGATGCATACATTCTTTTGTGAATTATTTGGTTGAGCTTCTAACGACAATAGCCTGCCAACGTACCGTAGGTATATGTGAATCAGGCTTCACTTGGTTGAATAGTTAAATTGGAATTGCAGTTTTTTTAACTCCCTCATCCCCTTAATATCATGTAAATATGCTGAATCCATTAAGTTGCATTGTGGCACCACGCCTGTGAAAAGCAGTTGGCACATGTAACAACCTCTTTCTAATATATTATGTGCCTAGTTGTGTTACACTTACTGGCCACATGACATGATCCAGGATTTGATAAATAAATGAATTTATGATGTTATTCTGATGTTAAATGAGTTTATGATGCATATTCTCTAATTATATGTATCTCCCTTGTTCATGTTCAAATAAAATTGCCCTTGACATACAATGGGTTAATCTAAAGCTCAGGGATGGATTTACTGGGGGTGTGCCCCCCCCCCTAGCCCTGGCCAGAGGGGGTGCAGAGGAGGTGCTATTTTTCATGATAAGTAAAAATTATTAGAGACAAAATGATATTCAGTAATTTGAGTAATAACATGATGATAAACGAACTGTGAACAACAATTACAATAGTCAAGCAAGACTTTGCAGTAGTGAAGCAAGTTGATGGGCGGGCGGCACACATGACTGACACAACTCAGCACCAGAGCTGGCAGAGCACCCCCCGCCCTACCAGGTCACGCTGGATCCATCCCTGCTATAGCTTACTAAATGTATTCATTGTTGTAAACTTACAGTTAATATATAGTTCAATAATTGGAATTGGGACAGGGTGGTTGCTGTGTAATGTAACAATAGCAAAACACTAGCTATCACTGGGAAGTTTCCTCAGTGACTGTTTGTATGGCTACAACTTACATGGAAATTTGCCTTGCAAAATTGATGGATTTTACCCATGTAAATATTTTGCCTGTGAACTTTGGCAAGCAAGATGAATGTCGCATAATCCGTCACTTGCAAAACTATTAGATTCTTATTAAATTCCAGTTGTCTTTTCTATTCCTTTATGTCTATTCCCTTATATATGTCTAGGTATTACTCACACCCATATATAAAACAGGGCCATTATTATCTAAGACACTCAAGTTTGAAAACTTTGTCTTTGCCCAAGGGATAAATTGCACAGTGTATTCCACAATATAAAAAACCCTCTTTGTTTAAAAGACTTTTATTAATGATTTTCCTTCCATACAAGTGTATTAATTAAAACAAGGCAAGAGGTATATATTTAACTGATACCGAAGGCACAGTAACAGATGTCAACAGTTGAATTTACATTTTATATATGGACAATTTTCGCTCGTTCTTTTTCGAATGAATCACTGCAATTTCAGCTTCAATATTATAATATAAAATGTCGTCAACAATTTGAGTAGAAATTTGTATATATCAACGATAAACGTTCAATTGACACCCTGTCTTGACATGAATCGACGACAACGTGAATTCGCTGCTCTGGAAAGTCACTCGTTGAGTCGTTGTCCCTAAACAATCCCAGTAAATCGCTGCTTCGGCTCACGTGCTAACGTTCTCAGCTCCTTAGTCAAAGTTCCCTGTGTATTTACAATGTTAAAGAGCAGTATTATTCGTTAACTTTACATGTATTCGTCTTAGTTTTATAAGCCATCTTGTTGAAAACAAAAAATTCTCCACTCCTTGCTGTAAGCCCTTCCTACTCCCACTAAGTTTGCGTTTGTCGAAATTTGCATGCGCGAGCCGGTATGCGCAGTGCAAATTTTTGTGTCGATTTATGGCTAACCTGAAGTTCAGGCCCTAATCACAGAATAGGGCCTGACGCAAAACCTATCTAATCTGTGGGATTCTCGTCCACCTGGTGGACGGGAAATCTGATTGGTTGATCAGCATCATGAAGGATAGCCTGCGTGCAGGCCCAAGGGAACTGATAGTGGGCCTGCAACCATCGCCCGGTATTTTGTAAAACGCCCCTTTTTATAACACGCCCCATTCGCGCGTCAATTGTCAAAAAAGAACCAATGACAGCACCCAAATATTAACAAACAAACTCGCATTAAAATGTTGCGGGGTTTTCTCTGCTTATTCAGAACACTAATAAACAATGTGTAAATGGCTGCGTTGACTCCAAAAAAGCAAGCAACGCAGTCAGTAATTGCCAAATTTGCAAGTGCTCATTACTCCGGGTACTGTAAGTACCGGAGTATTAAAATGTCAGATCTTTTTTCTTAGGCGACACAAGTGTGCACTTCCACAGGTGCACCGTACGCAACGCACGCAACGCACTACAAAAATACGAAATATCTAAAAATAGCCGCCATTCGTAGTATTAAAGGTCGGAGAGAGCATTGTGTTTACAATATATTTAGTTCTATTTACAGTAAATATTATCAAATGGAGGGGTTCTCATACACTCGTTTTTATACAGTGACCACAGTTCATGTAAATACAGATCGAAATTCGAGACTTTCTCGCGTGTTTAGTAGCGGGTGCCGTTATTGCAAAGCAAGTTCTGATTAACAAATGGCTTGGTTCGTTACTGACGTTGTTAGCCCGGCATTTTTTAATTTTGTCAACACTGTACGTACTTAAATTGTGTTAATACTCGTCACTCGTGTTCTTTAAGTTTCCTTTTGTGCCTCGTGGCCAAAATTGAAGTACAAACAACGCACAAATCTATTCGACATATGACATATCTGAAAGTCTTCGATTCGCGAGGCAATTTATATCGCAAACCACAACAATATTGGCAATATTGTCTACAACGCTTGAATTAGACAAAAGCGCATATAAAATGTATATAACTATAGATTACTTTACCCAACACTATTACGTCTATTACACAGTTTAATGTTTTATTTATAGAGTATTAAAAATCGGTCTCGACAGCTGCACTGTCTTGGTCTTAAAGTAAAATCATTACTAAGATGCTTAAAACAATCTAAACGTTTGATAATAACAAACTTACAGAAGCCATACAAATTAAAACAATCAATCTGTATAAACAAAATATCAACATAACTTAATTATGAGTTATGGTGCTAGTTATGAACTTACTGCCATGCACTGAAAAAGTGTTGACAATTAACTATATGACACGACTAACAATATATTACTTTTTAAATAATTTTCTTTGCGTGTTTGATAAATGTGGTTTGTTTACGTTAGCTATTTTTAGTAATTCAGTTTCAGGAGTTCTTCTCGAGGGTCGAGGGTAGGAAGCGAAGGTCGAAAAATCATATATAAAAAGTCGAGGGTCATATCAAAAAGTCGAGGGTCATATATAAAAAGTCCGAGGTCGTATTTCTAAAATATTTTATGGTTTTTATTGTCGAGGGTAGAAATTTGCGGGCATTCCCTACAGATAAATTTGCAAGTGGGGCAAGCACAATAGCGAAAACAATACTTTGAAGATGGCGTCGCGAACCCGGAAAAGGCGTATGGCAATGGCAAGGTGTAAACAAGTCCTGATTACTCTGATTCAATAGACCATATAGTGAATAGACAATACAATAATTTGCGACATGCATTCCGAGATAATGCACCACGCCGTTTGAAACTATCTCGACTGTAGCTTTTGTCGGCATGTCTATTTTTATGTAGGCCTAGTAATATTTTGTCATATAAAAAGTAATCGCATATAAAAAAATAATAATTGCATATAAAAATAAGAGCTAAAAATTAAGAGTAAAGTAAGTGAACACGAGCTTAAATTATTATTTTGTTAAATTATTAAAATGTACCCTCAAGCTTTTCACCCTCGAATTTCTACCCTCGACAATAAAAAAAACATAAAATATTTGTAAAATACGGCCTCCGACTTATTATGTACGACTCGTTAAAACACTCCTACGCATGTTTTAAATATAACTTTTAATAAAGAACTAGATAGCTTTTATTAGGGGCGGACTATTAGAAATCCCGGGAGGGGGGGTATAAAATTTTTGCGGCACGAATTTTTTTTTTAGTCTCATGTCTCTGCAGGAATTTTTTTTAATGCATTTATCCTCTGCACGAATTTTTTTCAAGACTACTTGTACTTTGCTGTTTGCTTGCACGAATTTTTTTTCTCTGACGTAATGGCTGCACGAATTTTTTTCCAGGCTATATTCACCAAGCCAAAAACTATAATATTACATTGTGGAACAAATGACATGGAGAAATCGGAAGAAAATTCTAAAATTTATTCGGACATGTTAAATGTTGTAGACACAATCACAAAGAAATACCCAGAGTGCAAAATTATCTTGTCCTCAATTCTCCCAAGAATGGATGATCACCATAATCGTATAAATGAAATCAATAAGAAAATCAAAGAGGAATGTTCAAAGAAACCCAACGTCTACTTTGTCGCCCATAATGATATTTTTCCATCCTACCACCACTTGTATGACAAGAAACATTTAAATGAAATAGGCGTTAGAGTTTTTGCCAAGAATCTTAAGACCGCCTACTTCTATGCAAAAAATGGCACAACAAGAGCATCTAAAACAAGACAAACACATGCACGAGAATCAAACCAAGGGCACATGTTAACACCATCAAATCACGAACTAAATATCCATTTCCGTCCTCATGAACATAAAACTCATTCAAAGGGTCTATCTTCCCCTGGTTTTACACCTCCTACTGGATTTATACCTCCCCCTGCTTTTATACCTCCCCCTAACCATATGCAACCCCACAGTTCCACATCTCCCCCAAGAAATATCCCTCCTGGCTTTATTCCTCATCCTGTGCTCTTTCCTCCACCTATCTTCCAACACCCTGGCCACTTACCCCCTAGTTCCATACCTCCTCCTGGCCCCATACCTCCCCCTGGCTGTATACCTCCTACCTTCCCACCTTATACATTGAAATCCCAACACAAGTTACCTTCTACACCAAGCAATATACCTTATTCAAACCAGAAACCCTCCCCGAATACTCTACCACACCCAGTTCCGAAGAAAGCAACACCAGAAAGATTAACCAATGACCATTCCAAAATACCATCGCACTTCATTGAACTAATTAAACTACTTCATGGGTATGTGTGCTAAAACCTAGTAATGTATATATGTATATATTAGCTTAATTTCTTCAATTTGCACATTAGAATTAGGATTAACCAAAAATTCACCTCTTAAGCACTCCTTAAAATCACAATTATTTCATTCTTTCTTTGTCAGTAAAAATGCGGTCAAATATTTCCATAAGTATGTGGAACATCAATGGCCTTCACAGTAAGGTACTTGGTGATAAATCAAAAAACGAAGATTTTATTAATCAAATAAAAACAAATGATTTTATATTTTTAACTGAAACCTGGTCCAATACTACTATATATGTCCCTGGTTTCAAGGCAATATCCAATGTTATACCTCCAAAATTAAATCATAGTGGTCGCTTATCTGGAGGCATAACTTTGTTATTTAATGCAAAATTTGAAGCATATGTTACAGTTTTGAAAAATTCCAAACACTTTCTCTGGTGTAAAATCTCCAAAGAAATACTAAAATCAGAAAATGATTTTTATTTATGTGGAATATACATACCACCAGAAACATCAAAATACTTTGATTCCGAAACATTTGATAAATTAGAAGAAGAAATTATCACATTCTCTGGGAAAGGAGATGTGATACTGATTGGCGACTTTAATGCAAGAACAGGTAAACTTGAGGACTTTATTTCAACAGACGGAAATAAACATATACAAAACCTTGTCCAAGACGATTCATACCAAACCAAAAGAGAAAATTTTGATAATACAGTAAATAGTCATGGAAAACATCTTCTTGAAATATGTAAAAATTGTGATCTCCGAATTCTTAATGGTAGAACCAAAGGCGACTCCCTGGGTAAATCCACTTTTCATAGTAAGAATGGTATTAGTACCATAGACTATGTCGTATGTGATATAAATTTACTTAAGTACATTAAATTTCTTGTTGTTAAACCCCCAAATTACTTCTCAGATCATAGCCAAATTACCTTTTGGATAGACATGAAGGATAACGCTGATAAAATCCTTCAAGACACACCTAACAGCAATTTTTCAAAAAAACTACCACCCCAATTTATCTGGGAAAATATTTCTGATAGAACCTTTACTGAAAGTCTTAGATTGCCTGATATACAAATGAAATTTCAAAATTTTCTAAATAACAATTACCCTACAAATAATGCAGGAGTTAATGACTGTGTAAATGAATTTCAAGACATTCTACTAGATGCAGGAAACAAAAGCCTTAAAATTAAGAAAGTTAGGAAAAGATACAAAATTAAAAATATAACTAACAAAAAATGGTTTGACAAAGAATGTCGAATAAAAAGACATGCCGTGAGAAAACTGGCTAACCAAAAACATAGAGATCCAATAAACATAAACTTTAGAAATAGATATCATCATGAATTAAAAATCTACAAAAATACTTTAAAACTCAAAAAAGAAGAATTCCACAAACAAAAAATTATTGAACTTGAAAAAACAGCTGAAAATGATCCAAACTCTTTTTGGAAAGTACTTAAAACTATGGATGATGAAATGCCAAACAATGCAACTTCAAATACAATCTCTGAAGAGCAATGGTTATCTCACTTCCAAACATTGCATTCAAAACATAGTCTTAATGAGTCGCAACACAATGTCACAAAAACATTGAATATTGAAGAATTGAACAAAAACCAATATGCAAACTTAGATCATCCTATTTCAGATTTAGAAATCAGAAATGCTGCAAAAAAACTGAAGAAAAATAAATCTGCCTACTCTGATCGCATAAAAAATGAAATGATTAAATGTAGTACTCATATCTTGCTTCAAGGATTCATAAAACTATTTAATCTTATACTTGAAGCGGGAAACTTTCCTAGTCAGTGGTGTGAAGGTTTAATAACTCCAATTTTCAAATCAGACGATCGTCTTAACTGCAATAATTATCGAGGTATATGTATTACAAGTTGTCTTGGTAAATTTTTCTGTTTAATACTCAACGAAAGACTTCATACTTTTACCAAAGAAAATGACACTCTTCATCCTTCACAAATTGGGTTCTTACCTAATCATAGAACAGCCGATCATATACTAACCCTAAAATCTTTAATAGATAAGTATGTAAATCAAACAACTAACGGGAAAATATATGCATGCTTTGTTGATTTCATAAAAGCTTTCGACTCTGTTTGGCATGATGGAATGCTTTTAAAACTTCTGCGTAACAAAATTGGGGGGAAATTCTACAATTTGATTAAAAATCTTTACTCCAACTCCCAGTGTGCCGTTAAGCAATTGCAACATAGAACACCTTTCTTTCCATACTCCAGAGGCGTTCGACAAGGATGTATTTTAAGCCCACTACTATTTAATATTTATCTAAACGATTTGCCCCAATTATTCAATAATTTAGCCTCTGACCCACATGCATGCTTCCTAACACAACCAAACTGAACTGCTTATTATATGCAGATGATCTTATCTTACTATCAAGATCAAAACAAGGCCTTCAAAACTGTTTAAATCAGCTAAACAGCTGGTGTGAACAATGGTTAATGGAAATAAACTTGAAAAAAACAAAAATAATGATTTTTCAAAAATCAACTAAAAAACAGCAAATACCAGTCTTTTCTATAGGAAACAGAATTTTACAAATAACACAAGAATACACCTACCTAGGACTAAAACTTACACCTACTGGAAAATTTACTTTAGCAATGAAAACTATAGCTGACAAAGCAATACAAGCTCTGTTTGCTATAAAGAAAAAAGTTGACTTTTCCAATTTAAAACCAAAACTAGCAATTAAAATTTTTGAAAGCATAATATCACCCATTCTTCTATATAATTCCGAAATATGGGGAGCATTCACTTGTATCAATAAAGATTTCCATAAATGGAACCAAACTCCAATAGAGAAAACCCATTTAAAATTTTGCAAACTCTACCTAGGTATTAATAAAAAGGCAACTAACGTTGCATGTAGAGGAGAATTAGGCAAATTCCCCCTATTGATAAATATTCATAAAAGAATAATTAAATATATTATACATATCAACACACTTCCAGATTCTGTCATTGTGAAACATGCATTTCTACTATCCAAAAATCTATATTTGAATAATCAACAAAGTTTTTATCTAAATGTAATGAAAATGCTTAAATCCTATGACCCATCCTTTGAATTGAATGAATTAGAACCCATCACACAAGATCATTTAACCAGATATATTAATAATATCAAAAATAAATACACAACATTTTGGAAACACACACTGATTAATTCCTCTAAATTATCTTTCCTATCCTTAGTTCTATAAAGAACCCGTCACATAGAAGATTACTAAGTAAATTTCGAACCAGTTCCCATAAACTACACATTGAATCCGGACGATACAACAAAACTCCCCGTGAACAACGTTTATGCGAGTACTGCGACACCAATGAAATAGAAGATGAATATCATTTCACACTTTCATGTAAATATTATGAACAACAAAGAAATGATTTAACAAATACTCTACAAAATGACTTTAATGTACCGATAAATTTCCAAACAACTGATGACTTACTAAACATATTGTCATCGAATAATCCCGATTTGCTCAACATTTTCTCAAAATTTCTTTTCGGTTGTTTTAAGAAACGTGATGAATGCCTTGAAACTAGGTTACATTCGAAGTAGTTAACTTTCTTAAAATTTGATATTTATATATGATAATTATTATTTCATAATTCAAATCTTTGATATTGCAAATAAATAGTCAAAGATCCTACAACATTTGTTATTTTGTAAAGTAAAGTAAAATATATATAAAACTTATTAATATTGTTAATCACATTTTATGTAATATATTATTGAAAACTTTAGCAATACCTTGTAAATAGGTCATGCGAATAAAGTAATAAAAATAGCAAATAGCATTTTTCTTTGCACAAATTTTTTTGGGGGAATTTTCACACCCCCCCCCCCTCCCGGGATTTCTAATGGTCCGCCCCTTAGAGATAATCAGTGTCACAATGTCCTTTTATTTTTATGTTATAAAATATTATGATCATTGCATATGTTTTTAGTCACCTGGTGTTCTCCCACTTTTCCAACTTTAATATGCTAAATATCATGCATTAAAGATACCTTTATTGCCGTATATAAGCATACGTTAAAGTAGCTTTGCGCTTAGTCAAGGCCCTGTACCCGGAGTGAACGCCTGAGTAGGCGTCTTGTTTTCAACTAAAATCGGAACAGGTAAATTAGGACGAATTTCAACAGAAAACTAGTCTCAAACTTCAAATCATGAGGGAAGTCGTGCGACCACATTAGGATTTATATTATGTGTGTTTCGCTGTCGCCATTGGCATTGTTATAAATAAATTGTCTCACTTATCAGATCATGTGTGCAATTCTTGTTGGCGGCGGAAAGTACAACTGATTTATTTCATTTGGTAAAGAACTCTACAAAAGAAGAGAGCGTTCCGAGTCCAGATCGTTTCGTTTCAAACGGCAATTTAATACCGCCTTCTGTTTCGCTCTCTCAGCGAAGCCTTGTAAATCGCAAAGTGTTTCGAATAGGCTTACAGTCCTTACATGCAACTGCATCTCAACATCAACCAAAAGATAATTTTCTTGAGGAAGTGAGAACACATAACGTATCAACTGAAGTCTGTTTGAAATTAATGAAACTCAAGTAAAGGTTACTATAGTTTACCCCAGTCATAATTTGCTATACCAACACCTCACGACAAGCAATCCCCATTGGCATAACGGCAAAAACATGTCTTCCTTCAAGTAAACAATAAACAGTCTGTTCTTGTTCCATTTGTAATCGAAAAAAGTGATCAATTTTCAAATTTTAAGCTTATCGAGAGCCTTTGTCTATGTCTTTGTGATGAATCACTGTTCCCTGGGGCTTGCACGCGGGCTAGGTTAATTAATTACCGATCGCCTCAGCTAGCCAATGGGAATTTAGCCGGCGGTTCGGCCGGTGAAAATCGAAAACATGGGGTGATGGTTGCAGGCCCACTATCAGTTCCCTTGGGCCTGCACGCAGGCTACATGAAGGATTTTGATTGGTTGCAAGTTCACATAAACAACAGTTTTAAAAATAGCTCGGTCAAGGCGAGAATTAATATACAGGTCAAACTCACGCAACAAATTCCATTATCGATTTCTTCGAATTTCTTTTCTTTTATGCTTTATGGCAGAAAATAAATCAAACAAACAGTATTTTGAAAGGGCTTCATCAAAATCTTTGACGAATTTTGGACACACACGACGCTGAAAGAACAGCCAAACTAGTCGTGTATTCGAAAGCTTGTTGTTGACAGCCAAGGTGTTCTGCCAACTTGCTTTGCCGGCAAAACTCTTATTTTTAATATCAGGTCCTACCGGCGTTGTTTTCTGAGCTACATCGCCTTCTTGGTGCTACGATTGACAATTTAATTGTTGCTGTTGTTAGCCCGTTAGTCGTTAGAGTACTGATCCGCGTCCAGCAAGTTGAGACCTTGAGAAAGCTAGCTTGGCAGTCGAGCCGTGCACAGAACTGACTAATTAAATCTTTGTTTGCTGTTCGCCTGTTTGGTTAAATAGAGAAACTGACTCTTAATTATATAAAAGTACCTTGAATTTTTAAGTTTAATTAAAAAGCAAAATGCTCTGCGAACATGTTCATGAGAATATAATTTTTTTGTGTAACGAAATCTACAACACTTGTCAATCATATTGCATGTGTGTCTAAAAATAACATGTGGGCGTCCCACGGTCGAGACAAGTTTTGTGTCAGGCCCTATTTCAAATTAGGGCCTGAACTTCAGGTTAGTTTATGGCAGGCATCTCACCAAACTTTATCCGACCACCCGATTCGTCGGGTGAGATGCCTGCGGAGGAGGCTAATGTGAACGATTTGACTGATAAGTTACGATTACGAATGTTCTGATTATATGTATACCCTCATCTGAACATTCATAACTTATCCACTCGTTCACATCCATCAGAAGAAATTCGTACCTAAAATCACAGCAAAAATTGCAAGTGTAAACGAGCCTTTAAGATGATGAAAATTAAGGGTTAAATGTCTTTCAAGGCCAGAATGGTTTTTGAATGTCTTTCACAATCTCCGCATGTGTCACCAATGACAAGTTATTAATAATTTCATTAATTACACAGTATAGACATATTTGTGGCTATTGAACCAACAAATAACTGAGTTATCTGCTGGCAAGCAGGTACGTATACTGTAACTCAGATATCTGTAGGTTAAGCCAGTGATGTGCAAGAAGTAGCTAGAAAAATTATTATTTCAGCGTTCCGAAAAATGTTGACCAATTCGTTTCCTAACTTGAAGGAAGACCTCTGAACAATTCCTTAAAATTTTGAAACTTTCTTTAAAAAGTTCCTAACTTCCTGTTTCATTGACCAATCAAATTTTATATTTTATTTTTGAGCAATCTGATTGGTCAATGAAACAGGAAGTTAGGAACTTTTTAAATACTTATCACATTGTTGAGGAGTTATTGAGAGGAACTCCTCGAAGTTAGGAAATGACCTGGTCAACATTTTTCGGAACGCTTCTATTGGCACGACTGTAATATATCTATATTTGACAGTATACCAACACATTTATATATTATATATTATATAGGCATATCATATTCTCACTATGATGCTAAAATGTTTAAATTGAGAAAAGTAAAATTTAAATAACAATCTGTCACGCATTTCTGCACAAAAATGTATGGTCAGAATCGCACGTCATGTACTTATGTGACGTCACTTGTACTAGCTAGCATTCCATGGATATTAAATTTATTTTTGTGATAACCTTGCACTCAAAGAGCGTGCCTCGTATTATTATACTATAAGAATACCACAGTCAGTACTCATTTCCAACCACCTTTTGTCATTGTTGGAAGATGGAACAGGTGTTAATTAAACAGCTACATAACTAACCTCCAGAGAGCCTGCTCGCAGGCTAAACCCTACCCCTATTCCACCCCTAACCATAGAGATTATAAATAACACTAGAGGAGGCATTCTAATCTTAATTCAGTTAAAAAAAGGGAACGCAGCTATTGGGGGGCGAATTCAAGTCGCGGATGTGTATTGACGTTCCCATTAGTGACGAGTTTCAAATCAACCAATGAGAGCACATTTTATATCCGGGACTTGAATTTGCCCCCCATTAGCTGCGTTCCCAATTTTTAACCTCGATGCCTCCTCTAGTGTTATTTATAATCTCTATGCCCCAACTATAACCTTAACCAAATTAATTAAAAAAATTCAAAAAGAAACAACTTTAGAAATTGATCAAATGATGTAACGTCTGTTGGAAATAAGTGAAAACCAAAATGTATTTTGTTTGTCTGCTAAGCTTTCTTGCAGGCCTGTTTATGTATAATACATTTTATTCTGAATTTCTCAAATATTATACCGCCAGCAGTCTTTATATACCCATTTTTGAGGGCGATCATGTTATTTTTGAGGGCGATACTGTAAAATTATTTTATTTATACCGCAACAGAATTGCACATTTCCAAATTTCTGATGAGCAATATTATTCGGAGTTAGTGCTCTTTAATATTTTTGCTCTCGTATGGGGCATTTATCCGGGGAGATGCTCAAAGTGCAACATATGCTGTGCTACTTTCATGTTTAATTTTAATTTAGTATACATTTATCAAGTTGAGGAGTCTGGAATTGTTCAGGGGTTCAATTTTCAGACTGGAATTCTTCAGGGGTTTATAAAAATCTCGATTCTTTAGGGGGGTTACTAAAGGGAGGTCCTCAACCGAGGGGGGGGGGTACGCATATTAAATGCAAATCTAAATTATTTAGATCACAGTTAATAGAAAATTAGATCGAGCCATGATATCCATCTTCTCGAGTGATAATTGTATTGGCCATTTGTTCTCTATAAAGCAGCCTGTTTTCCTCTACGACATTTTGCAACAGCAAAACATATTGGTCTAGTAGGGAAACGCCGGTAGTTATATCGAAATTTCAGCTAACAAATATCGAACTGTGACAATGTGACAGTTAAAGCCAGACGTTTAATTTAAATTAACGACAGAAAGGACTTCGAACTATTGTTCACAGTAGGAATATTTCTTTGTGTCAAATTTCTTCTGTACACTAGGGAGATCACTCGCGTACAAATCAAATTCCACTTCATCCAAAATGCGGCGAGCAAAGTAAAAATTGGGCTTGTTAACGTCTACTGAGTACTAATTCGCAAATTGAGTGCGTCTATATTTCTTCTATAATCGCAAACGGCTTATATATTTACACCGTCAGTTGATGGAACAGACACATGGTGTCAAGGTTACACAGCCTTCAGGGGACAGTCACCCGACCGGGTACAATTTAAAATAGCGCGCGGGAAGATCGCATTCAAATTACATTACTACACAGGGCCGTAGGAAGCTCTTTTCGATTGGGGGGGGGGGCTGAAAGCGAGGGCCGAAGGCCCGAGGAAATTTTTAAATTTAGAGTCTCTAAAATGCCATTTCCTGGACTTTGGGGGAAGATTTAACAGAATTCTGATAGTCAGAAAACAGCGTTTTAGTATGTCGAAATTTACAGGAAAGTATGGGCCAGACTGTAGTATTATAAATGCGCGGCGGGAATTTTCGTCGTAAATGGCAGTTGCGCGGAAATGAAGGCAGAACATTTGAGAAAATTTCGAAAATCTGGAGTCTCTAGATGGTCTGAAATGGCATTTTCAGAGTTTTCTTTCGCAAGACCCAACACGCGAAAGACAAAATAAATCATTAGTTCATCAAAAATGTGCAGATTTTGTGGGATTTTCTTGAAAATGCGCGACAGAAATTCAGCTAAAATTTCTACGCGAGGAACGATCTGGAGTATGAGTAATATCTTCATTCTTTGCAGTTTGTCACAGATTAAATGATAAAGTTTGCATGATTTTGAAAAAAGAATGATTATTAGCAAATTATTGGGGGGGGGGGCTGCAGCCCCCCCAGCCCCCCCGGTTGCTACGGCCCTGCTACATGCCCAGATAACGGAGAAATTTAAGCATGAAAGTTGCAGTTGTAATTTGCGTTTGCGTAAAAGTAGGCCGTACGGCAATTGTCATATCTTAACGGCAATTTTAGGCATGATTAAATCGATAACTGCATTGAAAAGCCCTTGAAAAATAGCACATTGCATTGGTATAAAATTACATTACTACATACCCAGATAACAGAGATTATTATATACATGACAAAATTACTGCAATCTGATTGGTTAAGAGGAGTGCAATTATTTCATTAATTGCACTCTCCAAGAGTGCAATTAATGATTTTCGTGATGGCTGGGGGAGCGGGAAATCAAAATAAGAAAATCCAATATGGCGGCGAAATTTAGATAAGTATTTCTAACAAATGTTGACGAATTTAACTGAATTTTGGCACAAGAATGAGTTTAAGAAACATTGTATGGCAAAAAGAGCCTGTGGAAAATACCAGAAAACAGTCTTAAGAAATAATCTTGGCGGGATGCAGCGAAACGTGACTATGTAAGGTTGAAATACAATTTATAAAGATTTTCTTAGTCTAAAATATGTTGTTTGAGTTTGAATCTTGTGTTCTAGTTTAAGTTATGTGCCTTTATGAGTTTATAATCATTTTCCAAGTTTGTTTTTACCAAATTGCTTACAACAGAATTAAAAACTCTTGACAAAATGCAGTTGATATATAAAGAAAGCGATTTTGTCATGCATATAATAAATAAATAATCACACGGGAAGGAGTGCAATTAATGATTAACACTACTCGTGATATTTGAAAAATGTGCCAAATTGCACTCGCCTCGGCGGCTCGTGCAATTTTGGCACATTTTTCAAATATCACTCGTAGTGTTAATCATTAATTGCACTCCTTCCCGTGTGATTACCTATACTAACAGGCAATTTTTATTAGAATGTTAGGGTTTGTAATCCAAGTGAGAATATATACATTTTAAGACCTAACCAGGAACGACTGCGAAGAATGCAGCACAAGGTCCTCTGGTAGGAATTGAACATACGGCCCATGATGGTTAATTTGCTTTGCATGTAAAATCTTAGTTTATTTTGAAAAATTGCTTTTTCACATTGTTTTAATTGTCTGCATTGGTTAAAGGAAAGGCATAAAATCATAATCATAATAGTCTTTGAATTGAAGTCAAAATACGAAATTCAGGCACGCTCCTTGCAGCTTCGTGTCCGACCGCGCAGACAACGACAGTTGAAAGAGGAGTGGGTTTGACGTCCAAAAACTGTCCAATTTCCGCCATCTTAGCTTTGGCTACACTTCTTATAGTCAAAGTATCGTTCCAGACATGCATATTTATGGAGCATACTGTATAAATCACTTGAGCAAGCGGCTTACCGTAGAACTTCAGACTTTCTCTTGAAACATATTTTTAAAGTTTTTTTCCCATCATTGAGAAACGTATCAAAAATGAAAACTCAACCAAATTGTATACGCGTTAGTTTTGACAGCATGTTATGTAACATACAAAAATGTCTCCCTTTAAATAAACTTGTGACCGCACAATAAATATTTATAGACGGTAGCCATTTACTGCAAAATCGATATTATTTTGATACTTTTACGCAAGGCGGTATATGAAATTTTAAAGAATCTAAGAAACCTTCGTGGCTTGTATATCCTCACAAACAAATTTTTAAACTTTAATAAAATCCTCACTATTACGTATTTTAATTCCTTTCCAAACCTCAAAGTTTCAACTGCATCAACTACTTATGGACCGCTTTACTCCTTTTGGAGCGCTTTGCTTCTTTTTGAAATCAAACACACCTCAAAATTGTTACTCGCTTTACAAAATAGCAACCGCGATGATTCACCTGTTACATACGTCTATAGCATTCATTACCCTTATAATTCGTCCGTGCACGTATAGTACATAATCAGTGTCCTGTTTGGTTCAATTGAGTTTCACCACCGGGGCCGTTTAAGATTCTTCAAAATTAGAACTATCTCGAACACAGATCGAGCGCTCAGCATTCTCTTAGAGGAACAAATTTATCTCGTAAAGAAATAACATAGATAAACTTTTTTCTAAATGATTTTTAACTGTAGGCCTTCTTCGCAATTTTGGCGATATGTGTGCCAAGAGTGTACAATCCGGTCGGATGAAGTTCGGAACTCGGGGGATGTGCTCGAGTTTGCATTCAGATTTCAAAAATACCGGTGATTTGTTGGCGCCGGTATAGACTATAGTTTCCATATTAAATTCTTTAAAATGTAAATAATCAGAAATTGCTCTATAATCAATAACAGCTTTGAGATGCATTTTCGAACTGCTATCGGAAATCTCCGAATGGAAACGCTACTCTTGGTAAAGATCTGATCACATGACGGATGTTTCAACCTTTCTATCAATTTATCTATTATTAATTAATATTAATATTCAGATGTTGATCAAACCATGCGTAAATCACTATTTTAGTCTCACTTTTCTTCGAAAAAAAAACACTAAAGAAATACGTAGACATGATTCTACCTTGTCCAAAATCTAAAGTAACAATAAAATTAAAATTTTATTACAGTAATTTGAAAAATGCCGTGGAAACTGCCAAAATTGCCGTAGACAGCTGTTACGTTCTACGGTAATTTTTAACGTCATTGCCGTCGATTGATTTCAGGGAAATTCGAGGCCTGGTGGGGTTTGCATGTATGTTAGAGGGTCTACTCCTGTCACTATTCTAACCGAATACGACGTAGAGGATGTGGAAATATTGTTGTGTAAACTAAGACCTAGCCAACTCCCTCGAGGTTTTTTCATCTTATGGTTGCAACAGTTTATCATCCCCCTACTGCTGACGACAACGTATTAATTAACCACATAACTGATATACCCTTTCGAAAATAGAAAGCACTATGCCCCACATGCTGCGATTATAATAGCTGGTGATTTTAACCGCCTTAACATTAACCAAATTACAAATCAATTCCGTCTGAAACAACTGGTTAAATTTCCTACTAGAGGTGAGCGTACTTTGGACTTAATTCTGATTAATTTAGCTAAATTTTACCAAAACCCTGAGAAAAAAACCACCCTTCGGCTTATCAGACTATTTTACCGTTACTATTTGTCCAAACTTACGGCCAAGTTCCTCCAATACGAAGAAATTAATACCAGTGAGCAAAAGGAACAAGAGCTCATTTGAAGCCTTAGGAAGATTTTTGAGCAATATGGATTGGTCCGTACTTAACTCTTTGCCTACCATCGAAGAACAGTTAAATTATTTTAACGACACACTTATGATTGGTTTAAATTCAATGATGCCCCCCAAAATTGTTAAATTGCATCAAAATGACACCCCTTGGATGACCATGTATCTTAAGGACTTAATTTACCATCGTCAGAAAGCCTTGAAAGAAAACAACATCTTGCTTTTCAGATTTTATCGTAATAAAGTCAACCGCGAAAGAAAAGTTATCAAATCGATATTTTACAAAAGCAAGATTGAAAATCTAAAACACGTAGACCCGTTGAAATGGTGGTCGATCTGCAAAAAGATCTGTAGTATGTCAAAACCAAATACCGGTATCGTTAATAAACTACTGGAAATGGAATCGCCGTCTACCAATTCTAAAATTCAACTGGCCAATGATATAAATTCGACTTTTCTGAACCCTTATCAAAGTTACCCGAATATATCCCCTAGTACAGCCTTGACCTAGGCCTTCTATTTTCATTATTTTTTTAATATTCAGCGCTTTTTCACATGAAAACACTGGGACTAGATGATTTGGGGGCGGAGGTTGGATGAAAGCGAAAAAATAGAAGGTCTAGTAGATTTCCCAATCCGAGTGCCAAAAACTGCCCTGAATTTGCCCTACTTGGATATGCCCAATTATTGCGTTCTCAAACGGAATTATTTGCAACTTAACAGCGAATTTAAACCGATACAGGTAAAATAAACTCATTTATAATATAAACTTACTATTTTTATTTGTATACACGCATGTAAAATCGGGTTTTTTATCATAAAGTTTGAAGCAACACTATTATTATGTTGACAAAGTGTAGCGAAAGCTCAAAATGAGTCAAAATATATACCAAAAGTAGAATCTTTCATGAAATATTGTCTTATACTATAATATATATATTTTCTCAATTTTGGCAAGAAGCAGCCTTGTGTTTGTAAAACATACAAACACATATATAATTTAGATAGGAGTCTGTCCATTTCATGCGTGCATTCAGTAACATTGCTTTATTTTATCTGAGACTAATATAATATAAGTTCGCAATACAGAATGATAAAAGAACATAAAGTAAACTAGTGCCCAGGTTCTTATACGTCTAATGTATCTAACAATCAGCATGCTCTATGATTGTTAAATAGAACGGATACATATATTATTAGCCCACACAGGGTATAAAACGTACATTGTTTACAATGGTATATCCATAATACTTGAACAATAACGTCAAAATCGTCATTCCGAATTCGCAAATATAGTTATTCAAAGCAAAACAGTAGATTGTTTTGCGAATAAAAGAACTATTTCGAGTATATAAAATCAGTGTACAAAATTGTTGCAACTTTAAAGGCCTTAAAAATGTTTATTAAAAAAACTCATTAATAATTCATGAAGAAAACACAAAAGAAATCATAGGCGTGAAGGAGTCTGTATATGTGATACAGTTTCATGTTGATTTACATAAACTTTAACTTTGATTTTCTCGGCTTAGGCAACGTTTATTTTTAAAATTACTTCGCCAATGAACTCATAAGATGAGTCGTTTCATAAGTTTCGTTGTATATCCGATACAACACGGACGCGAATGTTGTAAATAGTACATAATAGGTTAGTTTAGTCATAAAATGTTTTTATAGTTAATGTAATAACTACTGGACAGTATAAATTGCTTTAGTTTCTGATCAATTTCGGATCACAAAGTTATGGGGCTAATTTGAGAACTTGTGAAATCTACTAGGCTTTTACGAGGCAAATGACCATTGAGATAGTTACCAAATGCTAGCCGGAAATTGACCAAACCTGCCAAAGATACTTGCCAAAGCCAGCCGAGTAAAGGCCTAGGTCTAGGCTGCCCCTAGTAGTAAAATTGAAGTGACTAACCATCGGATTCCTAAAGTTTCCACCAAATCTGTTGAGTGAAAACTAAGAACAATCATAGAATCTAAAGCACCCGGTTCAGATGGGTTTCCCAACTGGTTTCTAAAAACCTTTAGCCATCTTCTTGCTGAAGCAGTATGTTATCTAATTAATTCGTCTTTCCAAAAACAAGTTCTACCTACTATATGGAAAAAGGCCAGTGTCATCCCTTTACCAAAAAATCAGACCATCGAAGAATTTAATAAAGATCTATGGCCGATTTCTCTAACGCCTACTTTATCGAAAATCGCTGAAGAGTATGTTGTACAAGAACATGTAAAACCTGCCGTTTTGAAGTATACAAGACCAGTCTGATCAATATGGTCGTTTCCCTTTTCATCTAATAAACATGCCCTAATATACCTGACCCACGATTGGCTTGCATGTACAGTGCTGACAATATGGGTTCAGAAATGAGAGTAATATTAACGGTTACAAAAAAGCGTTCGATCTAATAGATCACAATTTGCTGATGTGTAAATTGAAAAGCTATGAAATCAATCCCTATATTTTAAATTGGATTCACGATTTTTTGAGTGACCGCAAGCAAAGAGTTAAATTAGAGAATGATATCTTCTCAAGTTGGGACGAGGTATCAGCAGGCGTTCCTAAAGGCTCCAAATTAGGACCATGTTTATGAGGACCAAATTAGGACCATGGAAATGCAATCTTCGTTGATGGATAATCATCAGCAAAGCACCGCGCGTGTTACAGTGGACGAAATATCAAAATGGTCAATTCAGAATAAATTTCAAATCCAACCAATTAAATGCAAAGAAATGCGAATATCCTTTAAACAAGCTCCCTCCACATTTGATGATTTACATATAAATGGCTCCACTATTGAAATTGTTGATTCTTTTCAACTTCTGGGTTTGACCATTCAAAACAACCTTAAGTGGGACAAACACGTTGAAAAAATTTGCCAAAGGGCATCAAAGCGTCTGTATTTTTTATCTCAGTTGAAAGTGCAAAAGTTCAAACTAAAGAACTAGTGGAAGGCTATGTTACGTGTATTTGTCCCGTCCTGACTTATGCTTGTGAAGTTTTTAACTTTAACTTACAAGAAAAATTAAAATCATCATTGGAACGCATTCAAAAAAAGAGCAAAGAGGATTATTCATGGCTATGATAACTCTACGATGTTGCATGAAATTATCGAGCTTGGAAAGACTGCCGGGCCTATCGGGACATTCTCTGCGATGATCTTTTATTAAAGGTCTCCCGTAATCCAGACGACAAATTGCATAATCGTTTACCCTTTAATACGAACAGAAACTTACCTTTAAGAAACATTAGGAAATTTTCCGTCCCCAAGTGTAATACGGACCGTTTTAAAAATTCCTTTATTAACATTACAGCTAGTCGTTACAATGAGTTTTATTGTAAATAATTATATAGTTTTATGATAATCTTCTAAATTACCTGTTGTAAACATCAGTAGTTGAGCCCTCCATGTCTCGAACCGATTCCTTGGACGTCTTGTGTGGTGTACACAGTTGTGTAGTGTGCACACATAAAAACATGAATGAATCAACCGAACTAGCTACCATTAATAAGCTGGGACCAGGGCGGCGGTTATGCATGCCAGGCTGCGAAGTTACTGAATTGAATAAATCTTGAATCTTGAAATTCATGTAAACTAATGTGAACTAATCCGAGACCACCTCACGACTCTCGAGGTGGTCTAGTTTAGACTTTATGTCTATCTCGATTCAATCTCAGCTTGTTTTTGTTGTCCACAATTTGTCCCATACGGCTCTGAACTGGTTTTGGGTCGATCTAAATCGCTAGTGCGAACGGCGCCATATCACATGATTTCACCAGATACAGTCTATAATTTAAATTGTTAATTTTCTCTCCCTTACAGATCGTCCGTCAGAACGCACAACGTAAATGCGACTGCCATTCTCACTTGAGAGGATGCAGGCACAAAATCTGTAGACGGGTTGTACCATCGCTAGAGAAAGTCGGAGACGAGATTTGGAAACTCTACCTGGACCCAATACGTTCACATTGGAATAAAACTAACAGACGACTTTATAAGAAAGTGAGAATCTCGAGAAAAATAACTGCAAGTACAAAACAACTGCAAGGTAAACTCGTTTATTTTAAGAAATCTGAAAATTTCTGTGAGCCAAATGATTCCATGGGCATTGTCGGTACGGTTGGTCGCACGTGTAATCGCACATCGAATGGTCATGATGGTTGTACAAAGAGATGCTGTGGACGACCTTACAAGACGTCTGTGTCGGTTGAAATTAAGAACTGTAATTGTCGTTTTGAATGGCCTTGCTGTAACATAAAGTGTGATAAATGCAAGCAGACACGAGTTGTGGATAGATGTCGGTAGTGCTATATATCTTGGATATTGTTTTGGTAGAAGAACAGTGGTTTAGATGACGTTATTTGTTTATTTGTGCGTTGTTGTGTAATCCTCTTCTTTGCAGAGGATTACATCAAGTTTCTGGTTGTGTAAGTTATTTTGTAATTACTTAAGGTGGCTTAGCGAAATTTGATGCCATATATTGTTCTAATTTTTTCAAAGCCGGAACAAAATTATAAAGGCCTAGGTGTGTAGAATGAGGAATTAGACTTCTTCGCACGTCTAGAACATATCTGTTCTTGAATATCTTCTTCAATCATCCTAAAGGGAACTTTTACATTATTGGCCAATAGAAAGAAATCCACTTTTGGCCAAAAATATTTTAATTATGCCATTCGACTATTATCAATTCCTTTTACAAATCACAATATATTGCCATTTGGAGATAGCGTTCAGAGGCCTATACCCGATACCAGTCCATTAGCAGTGACTTTAAGGCCATTGTGTTTGCGTGTGGCAGTTAGGAACGCACCGGATATCATATCCAACCAGAGAGTAAGATCAACTTATTGTCCGGCCGCCTGGCTATCGGAATTGGTAAGACAGCATACTCTATCTACATTTTGCAAGTTTTCGTAGTGTAACGAAGTAAGGTTGATGTTGTGTTAATGTTCTGTAAGTTTGGTTTACTTGAAATTTGGAACTTGAAATCTGAACTTTTTGCTCATATCTGTAAAATTAGCTCTGCTTAACAGATTAAAGCTGGATTCAAAGCAAGTTTATACTTCTAGGCTCATGTCCAATGAGTAGCGTCGTTGAAAATGATGCAAGCAGGAGGTGAATTTCAGGGCCGCCGAGAGCTTGGCGGGGGCCCGGGGCAATTTTTTTTTTAGAGGCCTCTATTTCAAATTTTTCCGGAAAATTTTTTTTGGCGGACAACAAATTTAGTTACTTTGCCCAAAAGGGTCTTGCCTTGTGCGCGGAAATATTTCTTCCAAAAAATGGCTGGGGCCAAAACCTGGAGGCCAGGCGCGATTCCCCTTCCCTCCCCCTCTACGCCCCCTTTCGGCGTCCCTGGTGAATTTGAAAGATTGCACTGCATGGGGAGGACTTTGTATAGCGATCTCATGATATAGGCAATTCCAGCTTTTAGTTTATGCTTATGCCTGCAGGGGATGATGGGAAGTAAGGTATCATATTACTAATTCTGCTGAAAAATTTCAATAAAAACTACCGAAACAACCGAAATATTTCAATATTTACAAGTATAAGCTATCACTCCATGTTTACACGACCATTACTTTTTATTTTTTCAGCATAATTCCCAATGTGATACCTTACTTCCCATTGTCCCCTGCACGCATATTGCCTATTGCGTTAATTAAGTATAAACAATATTCATGTCCTCGAGCGCGAGTACCGCGATGTCGTGTGGCGAAACTTGATCAGGGCTGTGAAAATATCAATTCGCTTTTATGATTTATTCCATGTTAAAATGAAAAATAATCATTTGAACTTGTTTATTTCGTTATATAGAGCTGGATTAGGGACTGGTCATAAAGTAACTGCTAGGGTGGGCTGGAGGTAAATCACAAATTTTGCCAATAAGTTTGGTTACCCATCTTAGGATGTAGATAAAAATTTCAAAGCCCATCCAATCTTACCAATTTTATTTCATGACCCATCCACCCAATCTAATTTGGGAAAATACACTTCTATAATGAAAAAAACTTCCAGGTATGAACATATTTCAATACAGTGCCGGTGTATATCTTTATTTTTGTATCTGCGAAGCACATTAGTATTAACGTTTATACCCATAGCCATTCAACGACGAGCTTGAATAATTAAGCCAATATTAGCTTACATCAATTGTTTACATCCATCGAACTATAAATAACTACTAATAATAGTAAATAATATAGTAATAGTTTGTTATTTATTCAGTGTTTACATCATGCTCGCACATAACCTGCGAACGAGTGTAGTTTGGCCTCATGTAAGTCGTGTACTCGTGTTATTCTTTGCCATATTTTGGCTTCAAAAATATCTTGATTTTGTCTTGAATTGGCTATCTTGTTTTCACCATTCTACTTGTGATATTATTCCAAAGTTATCTATCAACATGGAAACTTATCCTCATCTAGTAAGTAGCCAAATACTACATTTTATTATAGACATTTAAACAGTATAAAAACAATCATTGTGTAATATTTTAAACAGTCAAAACTCTGGCTGCAGGCATAATTGCCAATTAAAACGCGTTCCAAACTATTTTCAATAATTCCAAACTATTTTTTTTTCTGCAAAAATTTAAAAAAATAACAAAAAGTGCGAAGATTTCACTTTAGCAAATCGAAATACTATTTTTTGGCAGAGACTCTGCCAAAAAACAACATTTTTGTCTAAACGAGACACCATTCTGAAATTATTAATGCTAAAGCGAAAATTTTCAGTATTCATATGCTTACATGACTTAAACTGGATTCAGATTATCACTCATATATATAAATAGACCAACCATTGTCAGATATAAATATAATTCGGTGTCTGAATTTCAGACACCGAAAACGGTTTGAGTTTGTCAAAACCATATATAAATACCAACCATGCAGACTGAGATAAATTTGGGTGTCTGAATTTCAGACACCGAAAACGGTTTGAGTTTGTCAAAATCATATATAAATACCAACCATGCAGACTGAGATAAATTTGGGTGTCTGAATTTCAGACACCGAAAACGGTTTGAGTTTGTCAAAATCATATATAAATACCAACCATGCAGACTGAGATAAATTTGGGTGTCTGAATTTCAGACACCGAAAACGGTTTGAGTTTGTCAAAATCATATTTAAATACCAACCATGCAGACTGAGATAAATTTGGGTGTCTGAATTTCAGACACCGAAAACGGTTTGAGTTTGTCAAAATCATATATAAATACCAACCGTGCAGACTGAGATAAATTTGGGTGTCTGAATTTCAGACACCGAAAACGGTTTGAGTTTGTCAAAATCATATATAAATACCAACCATGCAGACTGAGATAAATTTGGGTGTCTGAATTTCAGACACCGAAAACGGTTTGAGTTTGTCAAAATCGTATATAAATACCAACCATGCAGACTGAGATAAATTTGGGTGTCTGAATTTCAGACACCGAAAACGGTGTGAGTTTGTCAAAATCATATATAAATACCAACCATGCAGACTGAGATAAATTTGGGTGTCTGAATTTCAGACACCGAAAACGGTTTGAGTTTGCCAAAACAATCATATATAATACCACCTAGAGATAGGTAGAGTGTAGCTGAATTTCAGACACCGAAGTCGGTTTGAGCTTTTCAAAATATATTTTGAGATATATTTTAGGTAGGCTACTAGCTGAATTTCAGACAGAAACCAACCAGATAAATTAGCTATAGCAGAATTGCACACAACGAAATCGGTTCGAGTTTGTCAAAATTTTAATATAATATTAACCAACCATTATATTCTGTATAATATTCAGACATGCAATATAAGTGTCGTGTCTGGCCTTTCCTGCTCTGCCATCTTTAAGATCGCTTATCTTGCAAAGGAAAATAGAAAACATTTTGTGAAATAGCTAAGCGGCAAGGTTGTCGTTTGTTCATATATCTTCACAGCATGAGTGTAGTTGAATATTCACACTAAATATTTCTGACTATAGCCATGCTTTTGCTATGTACAATGGCTATAACAATAATGAACTAGAAAAAATATGAATAAGGTGTCGACGCGTTGAAAATAAACTTAACCCAGAGATAATTTGCTATGTAGTTAAATGAAGTGTAATGCATTTGAAGGTCTTGAAGAGCCTATATATATACACACTCCACAACGTAGCTATAGTACGTACGAATCAAAATTGATATAAAATCAGTACAATTCAAGTTTTAAGAGACAACGCTCCTGTATATGATTCAGTCAGAGTTTTGTTGGCAGTCAAGATCTATTAAAGTAATAATAGAGCTAATAATAAGCTGGTATACATTGTAAATAAGCAAATAAGTGCGGTACACTGGTTGTAATTAATATCAGTGCAAACCGCAAATGATCTGCAGTTGTCAGTTACGTAATGGTTTAGCGAATTGCGCGTATTAATATATCGCAACATATGCATGAATATAAAATTACAATTTCATAATTCTCACAATACACAATTTATGATAAATAGAACTATGATTTACCTGGTGGCGCGCTTCATCTTACTGGCGAATCTCAATTCATATCCCATAGCTCTCTGTCTGATTTAGTCTTTCTCTTGTATCGACAACATA